GCAATAGTCACGCTTGACCCTTGTGTGTCTGATGGCTGAGCCGGAGGAGGGTGTGGTGAGGTCCCGCTCCTGTGAGGCTCCCCGCCCTTCGCGTCCCCAAAAGAGGTGGGCCCAGGCCCCACAGCGTCCCGAGCTGTAGCCAGAAGTGGTGCTGTTGTCTGAGACGGTTTCACTATGTAGACCAGGCTAGCCTCAATTATCTCCTGTTTCTCCTGTGCTGGGATTAAGAGCATGTGCTACCACACCCGGCCAGTGTGGAGTTTATCACCACCAAATACATAAGGGGTCAACGCATGTGTCATAGACATATTTAATTAATTAATTTATTTATTTATTTGCTGTGTGTAAGTGAGTGTGCGTCCGTGCCCTTGGAGGAGATGACTTCAGACCCACTGGAGCTGGGGTTACAGGTGGTTGTGGGCCCGGAGTGCTGGGAACCGAATTCTGACCCTCTGAAATAACAGCCAGTGTTCTTAACCACTGAGTCATCCCTCATATTTTTTGAATATAAAATATATTAGCAGGGCAGTAGTGACACACACCTATAATCCCAGCCCTCGGGAGGCAGAGGCAGGTGGATCTTTGAGTTCGAGGCCAGCCTGGTCTACAGAGTGAGTTCCAGGACAGGCAGGGCGACATAGAGAGACCCTGTCTCAAAATAAATATGCATATCTATATTTAATAAAAGAAAAAGCTTACCGCTCACTTGGAGCCCTTTCTGGAAGTTTCCAGGGTTGTCGGAGCTGTGTGTGGCTCCCAGGCCTACACGGTCTTTACTTTCATTCCCACCCTCTGTGGTGTGGACGGCAGGGAACTGTCACTTTGTACCCTACACGTGTGGGTCTAGGCCTCCCTGCTAAAAAGCGGTAATGGTTCCGGGGAGCCGGGCTCCATGAATAAAACAAGAGGCCCGCAGCCGGCTGTCCGCTCCCACAGCGAATGCATAATCAGGCCGCAGGCCAGGAGATGGATGAGGCCGCTCAGAGGCGCCCCAGCAGCGATCAATGATCCATCGCTCATCAGCTAATTGCTGGGGTGTATCAGACTGGTCTGACCCGCTCGTGATGGGCATTACATACCTGTTGGCCCTGGGAGGGCTGTCGAGGCCCAGGCTGCTTCCCCTCGGGGGCCCATCTGTCACGTCACCCAGCAGAGGCCTGGGCCAAGCCAGGCTTGGGGCAGAGATCGGATGTCTGGGCTGTGAAGACAGTGGGGACAGCCATCCCATGATCACCCCCACTGCCTGGGTGGGAACCTGGGGGAATCCTGGGCACCTGTCTGGAGTTTCCCCTCCAGTCCCCAGATGTGTGTGCACCACTGTCATGGCGGGACCGGACTAGAGGTGGCAGGTGTCCCTGATGCTGTTCCAGCTCCGGGGGCGCTGCGGGCCCTGGTAGGGTCTGCTTTTTCTCTGCTATGTGTCCTCATAACAGACGTTGACAGATGTGTTGAGAAAGGTGTATGCTACCACGCACCTTACTTTTATTTAATTTAGTATATACGTGGAGGACAGCTTGTCGGAGTCACGTCTCTCCTACCATGTGGGCCTGGGACCGAACACAGGCTGCAAGGCCTGGGGCCAAGTGCTTCTTTGACCCACTGAGCATCTCGCCGTCAGCCTGCCTGCCTGCCCACCTGCCTCCTTCCTCCCTTCTTTCTTTCTTTCATTCTTCACATTTATCTTGTTATTCTTTTTGTTACTGGGTCCCCTACAACCCACATTGTCCTTAAATCCCCTTTGGGGACCAGGACAACCTTGGACCCAGGATCCTCGCTTCTCTGCCTCCAGAGCGCTGGGGGAGCTGCTCTGTCCTGCTCATGGGACGTATAACTCTGGGGTTCTAAGTCAGGTCAGGCCCCGCACAGGCCAGATGGGAAGGAAGGAGCTCTCACCTCCCCAGGAGTTCTGCCAGCTTTTCTCAAAACACCAGGGAACCTGTCCCCCCTGCATCCCCCCCCCACAAGGAGAGTCGGAGTCAGACTCAAACCTGTCATTTTTCTGGGAAGGAGGAATGGAAATGTTTTCCGAATGAAGTTGGGGTCAGCCCGGGGGACAGGCGTGTGCATGGACTGCCTGGACTGGGGTGTAATATAGTACCATGGCTGCAGAAGTGTGTGCGGCTCACCTCACAGGTCCAGGCCTGTTCACTGGCAGGGGCAAGAAGGATGGGGCTGGAGGGAGAGGGAAGGTTTAAGATGCCTTTGTTTTCTTAAATTTATGTATTTCTGGCCCTGGAGAGATGGCTCAGAGGTTAAGAGCACTGGCTACTCATCCAGAGGACCTGAGTTCAATTCCCAGCACCCACATGGTGGCTCACAACTGTCTGTAACTCCAATTCCAGGGATCTGTCACCTTCACACCAATGCACATAAGATAAATTTAAATAAATTATTTTTTAAAAAATTATGTATTTCTTAAATTTAGGCATGTCTGCCTGTCTGTGCATGCCTGGGGTCTTTTGAGACCAGAGAGGGTGTTGGATCCCCTGGAACTGGAGTTACAGACTGTTGTGAGCTGCCACGTGGGTGCTGGGAACTGAACACTGGTCTTCAGAAAAAACAACAAATGTTCTTTTTTTTGTTTTTCAAGACAGGCAAGACAAGGTTTCTCAGTGTAGCCCTGGCTGTCCTGGAACTTTCTTTGTAGACCAGGCTGACCACGAACTCAAAGAGATCCGCCTGCCTCTGCTTCCTGATTGATGGGATTAAAGGCGTGCGCCACCACCGCCCGGTTTTTAAACATTGAGCCAGCTCTCCAGTCCCTGTGGTGAAGTTTTTATAAGCTTAGCAACCAGAAATATCTAGGAGGTTCTTGCCTGGGACAGGAGGCCCTTCCTGCTCTCATCCCTCACTTTCCTCCAGCCTGTTCCAGAAAGGAAACTGGTCCCTGAAGCTCTGCCAGGGTTGGGCAGTGGCAGGAGAAGCCATCCACAGTTTGGGGCCTGCAGAAGTCACAGGTGCTAAGACCTATTTAGGAAGCTGGGTGTGGTGGTATGCACCTTTAATCCCAGCACTGGGGATGCAGACATGTGGATCTGGATCTCTGTGAGTTCGAGGCCAGCCTGGGCTATGGAGGGAGTTCCAGGACAGTAAGGGCTGCACAGAGAGACCCTGTTTAAAAAAAAAAAAAAAAAAGGTGTCTGACACTGCCAGACAGCAGAGAAAAAGAGAACGGGGCCGGAAAGCAAACACGGGGTGTTTACAAAACATTTACAGCTGTGTGTACTTAAAAAAGAGCGAGACCTGCCTGCCCAGGGTCTTTGATCTGGGGAGACAGCGTATGCAGAAAGGTGCGCCCGATGTGCTGAGCTCCGTAGGGGGAGGACCGCAAACCCCGTATGTTTGGGGGGTCACACACCAGGGGAGCAGAGGTGGGAGGGGCCGACCCAGTAGATGCCATCCTCGCTGGCACCACTTTGGGGAAACTCAGCTGCTTCTCTTCTCAACATAGAATCCTGCTGAGACCTTGGCTGCCTCTCCAGGCCAGCTGACTAGCTCAGGGAGTGGGCCCTCTGCCCCTGTCTGGGGGATTCTGGGCGGGGCTCCACCCCGACCACGCCCTCTGCCCCTGTCTGGGGGATTCTGGGCGGGGCTCCACCCTGACCACGCCCTCTGCCCCTGTCTGGGGGGATTCTGGGCGGGGCTCCACCCCGACCACGCCCTCTGCCCCTGTCTGGGGGATTCTGGGCGGGGCTCCACCCTGACCACGCCCTCTGCCCCTGTCTGGGGGATTCTGGGCGGGGCTCCACCCCGACCACGCCCTCTGCCCCTGTCTGGGGGATTCTAGGCGGGGCTCCACCCTGACCACGCCCTCTGCCCCTGTCTGGGGGATTCTGGGCGGGGCTCCACCCTGACCACGCCCTCTGCCCCTGTCTGGGGGGATTCTGGGCGGGGCTCCATCCTGACCACGCCCTCTGCCACTGTCTGGGGGGGTTCTAGGCGGGGCTCCACCCTGACCACGCCCTCTGCCCCTGTCAGGGGGATTCTGGGCGGGGCTCCACCCTGACCACTCCCTCTGCCCCTGTCTGGGGGATTCTAGGCGGGGCTCCACCCTGACCACGCCCCCAACCCCCTCACTGGGGATTCTAGGCAGGGCTCCACCCTGACCACGCCCCCAGCCCCTCACTGGAGGATTCTGGGTGTGGCTCCATCCCGACCACGCCCCAGCCCCTTCCTGGGGATTCTGGGCGGGGCTCCACCCTGACCACGCCCCTAGCCCCTCACTGGGGGATTCTAGGCGGGGCTCCACCCTGACCACGCCCCCAGCCCCTCACTGGGGGAGTCTAGGCGGGGCTCCACCTGACCACGTCCCCAGCCCCTCACTGGGGGATTCCAGGCGGGGCTCCACCTGACCACGCCCCCAGCCCCTCACTGGGGGAGTCTAGGCGGGGCTCCACCTGACCACGCCCCCAGCCCCTCACTGGGGGAGTCTAGGCGGGGCTCCACCCTGACCACGCCCCCAGCCCCTCACTGGGGGATTCCAGGCGGGGCTCCACAGATAGTTTAAGACTGCCCTCGGCAACTTAGTGAAAGATTACCGGAATCAAGAGCAAGGAAGGCAGCCAGGGAGTGGTGGCGCACACCTTTTTTTTGTTTCTTTGTTTTTGTTTTGTTTTTCGAGACAGGGTTTTTCTGTGTAGCTTTGCGCCTTTCCTGGATCTCACTCTGTAGATCAGGCTGGCCTCGAACTCACAAAGATCCGCCTGCCTCTGCCTCCCGAGTGCTGGGATTAAAGGTGTGCACCACCACCACCCGGCGGCGCACACCTTTAATCCCAGCGCTTGGGAGGCAACGCCAGCCTGGTCTGCAAAGTGAGTTCCAGGACAACCAGGACGGTTACACAGAGAAACCCTGTCTCGAAAGACCAAAAAAAGAAAAAAAAAAAGAGTAAGAGAAGCTTGGTGTGGTGAGCCCTTTCCAAACTCTGAACAAGGTCTTCACTTACCAAAAAAGAAAAAAGAAAGAAAATATTCTCCTATGTCTAATGTATTTTCTTATAGAATTCAAGCGGGATTTGGGGCGACTGAGAATTTTGGGTCCTCCAAGCTGATGCTGTCATGGAAAGGTCGCTTGGAGCTTCTGGGGAAGACAGAAGAGGCCTGGCTGGAGGTGGAGGATGCCTGGAGGGAGCTTCCAACAAATAAGGAGCTGTGTGTGCTGGTGTGGTGGGGACCTTGAAGGAAACAAGTCTCGGGGAAGAACAAGGCGGCAGGAAAAAAAAATGAAAAACAAATCCTAGCCGGAGAGGGTTTTTGTGTTTTTTTGAAATGTAAATGACACTCCCAGAATTGCCTAATAGTTAAAATGAAAGACTTAGAAAAAAATAAATCAAAGGCAAAAGGGATGGAAACTGGATGGGGCCTAATCCTTGACTGTGCTGGGGCGGCTGGGAGGTGCCGCTGGGCTGGGGACCGGGTCGGGTTCTTCTCTGTGAGAGGACGCTTCCAGAATCACAGAGTCACCGCTGCCTTCAAAGGGAGCCTTGGTGGCCAGGGTCACTTTCTGAGCGCCCATCTCATCCTCAACCCTCAGTCCCGCTCTGATCCTTCTGGTGCTCAGCTGCAGTGCGGAGGCATTCCATGCTGTGGGAGGATGCGGGGTTTGTGGCGGGGTGCTCTTCACGGGCCTTTGTTAGAAACACCGCCAAGCTGGGACACAGGTGCATTGCAAACACACAGTAGGACTGGAGAAAACGAGGTATCTGTCTGCCTTTTCTGTGCCCACGTGTATGGTTTGTTTTCTTTTCTTTTCTTTTTTTATTATTTCGAGTCAGGGTCCCTCTGTGCAGCCCTGGCTGTCCTGGAACTCGCTCTGTAGACCAGGCTGACCTTGAACTCACAGAGATTCTCCTGCCTCTGCCTCCCAAGTGCTGGGATTAAAGGCATGTGCCTCCACCACCTAGCTAACTTGTTTTGAGACAGGGTAGTGTAGCCCAGGCTGGCCTAGAAGTAGCTATTGCCAAGGCTGACCTTAAACCTCCCGATCCTCCTGCCTCCACCTCCTGAGTGCTGAGTTGACAGCCGACACTCTACCCATCTGTCCATGGCCCCCGTTACCACAGCCGGAACCCAAAAGTCCCTCGTCCATAGGCTGTTGACGGAAAGCCTACCCTCCTCCTCAGTCCTTCCTCCTCCTGGCCGACGGCTGTCACCGGCGGCTGTCACCTGGACCCACTGGGTGTTTCTGTCCCTCACTCAGCACTTCAGGACACCTGGCCTGTCCCTCCTGTGTAGCAGGCATCCCCTGGTTGTGGTGTAAGGCCCAGGGGCCAGGGTCAGGTGACACGCTGTCTTTTACACACTTGGGAAAACGACCACAACAGAGAGATGAGCCAGTCAGGCTCTTCAAGGACAAGCCAGGGCTCTTTGTATAGATTTATTTATGGCCAGGTGCGGTGGCACACGCCTTTAATCGCGGGGCTAGGGAGGCAGAGGCAGGGGGATCTCTGGGATCACACAGAGGCTCCACCTCTAAGGTGTGCCCCCCTCCCCTGACATTGTAATGGGTTAAATTGTGTCCTCAAAAAGGTATATCCGAAACTGGGTGTGGTGCTGCCCGTCTTTAATTCCAGCACTAGCAGGCTGAGGCAAGTGTCACTCTGTGAGTTCGAGGCCAGCCTAGTCTACGCAGAGAATTCCATGCCAGCTAGGGCCACTTCGTGAGACTCTGTATAGAAAACAAAAAAGAAAGAAAACAGAGAGATACGTGCAGGTTCTAGACAATCCCTTAGAACCTGCAACTTTGTTTTCCGTAAGTTTTTTTTACATTTGTGTGTGTGTGTGTGTGTGTGTTGGGCATGTGCATAGCACAACACTCACATGGTGGCCAGAGGACACTTTGCACAAACTGATTTTCTTTTTTCTTTAGGTTTTTTGAGACAGGGTCTTACTAGGTAGCTCTGGCTATAACTTGTTCTGCAGCCCAGGCCGGCATGTGTGGCCTCACTCCCACTGGGCTACTCCTGGCCTGGGCTCCAGAGAGTGGCACCTAGCCCTAACCCAGCTTTTGTTCAGAGTCCCCCAAGGATACAAAGGCCTATGTAAACTTTGTTCAGGAAATCCCCGAAAACCACGGTACCTGATGAATCGAGGAGTCTGCACTTGGCATTGTATTATTGGGAACTTCTTTCAGGTTGTTTTGAACACATGGAAATCAACTGGCTAAACTGTAAATATAGAGAAAAATAAAGATGCCCTGGACGAAGGGCAAGTGTTTCAGTCCTTAAGAGACTGGACCACCTGCAGCCATGAAAGGCTAAATTCATTCTTAAGGTGCCTCTGAGTTTTCTTTCCATGGATCCGAGTGAAGCCACACACCTGTGCCATGACACCTGGAGACAGGCATGCACCATGACTACTAAAATGGATATCCTTCTTCTGTTATGCTGGGTCTTCAAATTTGGTTGACCCTGTACCCCCGAACCGTCTCGCCAGTCCTGAGTGTAACTATTTGAAATACCTTTGTATTGGTCAGGGTTCTCTACAGAATGAGTCGGTCTACATATAGAGAAAGGGGATTTATTAGAATAATTTAGAGACAGATTGGAGGTGGGTTTTCCCAGCTCAAAAGATTTGGATTAGCCAGGCAGTGGTGGTGCACGCATTTAATCCCAGCACTCGGGAGGCAGAGCCAGGCGGATCTCTGTGAGTTCGAGGTCAGCCTGGTCTACAGAGTGAGATCCAGGACAAGTACCAAAACTACACGGAGAAACCCTGTCTCGAAAAACCAAAAAAAAAAAAAAAAAAAAAAAAAAAGATTAATCTGGGTTATATGAGACCTTGTCTCAAACAAAACAAAGGCTGAGCCTGGGCTCAGCAGACAGAGCCCTCGCCTGACATATACAAAGCTCTGGGGTCCATCCTAGGCTCCACGTACACCAGGCATGGTAGGACAGTTGCGTCACAGCACTAGAGAGTGGAAGGCAGCAGCAACAGGAATCCACACGGGATGCTCCCTCCCCCCAGTGGACCTTGCGGGAGACAGGCGTGTGTCACACACCGGTGGGTGTCACCCCTGGGCTGGCTCCGGCAGGGCGCCGAGTCACGTCTGTCTCTGTCTTCTTTCTAGACCGGTCCAGCTCAGACAAGGTCTCCCCGTCCCCACATCGCAGCCCCAGGGCCCAGACTGAAGGTCGTGTAACACCCCATCTGTCCCTGGCTCTTGATCTCTGGTCCCCGCCGCCTCTCAGGGCTTTGCGAGCTGTGTGCCAGGCTGTGCTCTCCTGTGGAGGAAGCTGGCTGTGTCTTTGCGGCCCCTTTTCATCTCGTGTCCTCCGGGCCTCCCTCGCCACCCCCAGGACTAATTAAGGCATTTTCCTAAACAAGCCCGGTTGCATCTCAGAAAATGAATTCTGAAGCCATCTGGTGAAATGCACTCCCTCCCCTATCCGCTATCACCGCAGAATGAGTGACACCCGGGCACCCGCAGCAGGCCAGCGGCCTAGGAACCAGGAGGCTTCAGACCCGTGATTCCATCTGTGCCTCGAGGCTGGCCAAGGTCGCTAACAAACACCCCGAGGCTCACCCACCAAAGACGGCCCAGGGTTTTTTATTTCGTTTTATTATTTTTTTAAGTTTTGTTTTGAGACAGGGTTTCAATTAGCCCAGGCTGGCCTCAAACTTAACTAACTAGCTTAAGATGACCTTGAACTCAACAGGCATGCTAGGGGAATGTTTTACCTGGAGCCCTGGCTGCAGGGAGTGAGTTGGCCCTTTTCCAGGTCATGGTGCTGTGTGACTGGTCCTTGCCCACACATTCCGTCCTCAGGGCGAATCTCCTGGAGTGAGAATTTCTGGCTCTGTGGACTTAATGTGAAGAGGGCGTTTTCCAGACTAAAGCCAAGTGCAGGAGGAACCAGTGTGTACTGTGCCTCTGCGTCCCAGCCTACTCACACCCCACAGGGGGCTGAGGGGATGCCTTCTCCTGCCTCGGCTGTGTGTGTCTGTGTGTGTGTGTGTCTGTGTGTGTGTGTGTGTGTGAGTGTGTATGTGTGCGAATGTGTATGTGTGCGAGTGTGCATGGGTGTGAATGTGTGTATGTGCAGCTGCAGGTGGAGGTCAAAAGAGGATCAGATCCCTGGAGTTAGAGTTACAGGTGGCTGTTGGCTGCCTGATGAGCATGCTGAGATCCAAACTCAGGTCTTTGGCAAGAGTTGTATGCACTATTAACCGCAGCCCTGTCCCTGCAGGCCCTCAGTGCGCTGTCTCTGTGTGTGTGTGTGTGTGTGTGTGTGTGTGTGTGTGTGTGTGTGTATATTGTGTGCCTCTGTGTGTGTGTGTGTGTGTGTGTGTGCATGCACATGGAGGCCAGAAGTCAATCTCAGTATTGTCTCTCACGTTCTCCCACCTCGTGTGAAGACGGTCTCCCAGTCACCGGGGAGCACACCCATGCCGTGGAGCACACCCATACCAAGGCGGGCCAGCTGGCCAGCTCCAGACCTTGACCTTGGTCTCCCCAGAGGTGGGTTAGTATGCCGCACACACTGGCTTTCTGCATGGGTCCCGGGGATGGAACTCAGGCCTCCCTGAGCCGCAGCTAGCACGCCCCTCCCGAGCCATCTCCCGGCCTCTCCTCTTTGTCAGCTGATGACAGATGAACTCAGCGTCAGATGAGTGCTGCACGCTCATCGGTGAGCTTCCAGCTGTGCGCGGTGGCCTCTGAACCAGTGTCCCTACATCCAAGACCCTAACTTGGCCATGAAGGGAGCTCACTGGGAACCCAGACTGTGCCCCCCGCCCAGTTAGCGAGGGGCAGTGCCCACCTGCACGGCCCCGTGTCCCTTGCTCAAGTTTTACAGGTGTGTACAGGATGCACATTACAAATGTGTGCAAGGCACCAGCGGATGTGGGAGATTCAGTTCACAAGGGGCGGGACGGGCACTTGGTGTCACGGAGTCTTCAGAGGACCCCAACGAGAAAAGACACAGGAGACTGTGTTAGCACGTGAGGTCAAGGTCTACGTTACCCTGTGCCCAGCCCCAGCAGATCTGTTCACTGAAGCTGAATAAGAGTAACTGGTGTGGGTTAACTAGAGACCAAGTTAACTGGTTAACAGATGAGTGGTTAACTAGGGACCAAGTTAACTGGTTAACAGGTGAGTGGTTAACTAAGGACCAAGTTAACTGGTTAACAGATGAATGGGTTAACCAGGGACCAAGTTAACTGGTGAATAGATGAATGGATTAACTAGGGACCAAGTTAAATGGTTAATAATGACTGGATCAACTGGCAAATTGGTTAAACCATGAACAGGTTTGTGGTGGTATTGTGTTCCCCGATATATTGCGCACCCTAATAAACTTATCTGGGGTCAGAGAACAGAACAGCCACTAGATACAGAGGCCAGAAAATGGTGGCACTCACACCTTTAATCCTAGCATTTCAGAGGCAGAGATCCACCTGGATCTCTGTGAATTCAAGGCCAGATTGGAAACAGCCAGGCATGGTGACTCACCCCTTTAGTCCCAGGAAGTGATGGCAGGAAGCAGAAAGGTATTTAAGGCGTGAGGCCCAGGAACTAGAATCTGGTTAAGCATTCAGGCTTTTCAGCAGCACAGTTCAGCTGAGAGTCATCCAGTCTGAGGAAACAGGATCAGCTGAGGAATTGGCCAGGTGAGGAAGCTGTGGCCTGTTCTGCTTCTCTGATCTTTCAGCGTTCACCCCAATACCTGGCTCCAGGTTTGTTTTTATTAATAAGACCTTTTACGATTCGTGCTACCCAGGTTACTAGATGGATGGGTTAATATTAGTCAGCTGGTGACTGGGCTAACTAATTCCTTGCATTACCATATCTGGTTCTCACTGTTTCTGACTTGCTGTCAAATTGTGGACCCCGAGAACCAGCCTTGCTGAGAGACCTGCCCACCCCACACCTCCCACCACTCACACTCACCCACTCACCCACATCCCCGTCACCACGTACCCACTCACACACACTCATCCACTCACCCACTCACATGCTCACACAACTCACAGTCTCCAAGCTTATACAGTAATGCTTGGTGATGTGGGGACCACTTCAAGAGAATTACCTGAAGAACCAGTGGCCGGTGGCACACCTCTCCCCCTTGGCCAGTGCTGCTGGGAGACCCCAGAATTGCCATCTGAGCTTCTGGGCCTGTGATTCCTGACATAGTGGAACTTGGGGTACACAGCCACCATATGGATGGATCAGGGTACAGGCCCATCGTCTCTCCTCTGTGGCCAACAAAGCCAGTTCTCCACCTGGGATGAGAATAGTGAAAAAATGTGTTTTAGACAAAGAAAAACAGCTTCGTTGGGAACCCCACTACACCAACCCAGGGTCTGATAACCAGGCCCAGGGACATCGCTCATTCGAGATAACCAGACGCAGGACAGTATATAAGCGGAGGCCAAGAGTAATGCCACTCTACATATCTTCAGGAGACACTGGAGAGACGCCACCTCGACCTGCAGTAGCTGTAGTCTCCCCAGGGAGACTGCCTTGAGAGACTGGACCTGACCTTCAGGTAAGAGACACCGCACAGGTGAGCAGCCTTGGGGACAGACAGAGAATGTAGTTAAGAACTTGAGTGTGGCTGGGTAGTGGTGGCGCACGCCTTTGATTCCAGCACTCGGGAGGCAGAGGTAGGCGGATCTCTGTGAGTTCGAGGCCAGCCTGGTCTACAGAGTGAGTTCCAGGAAAGGCGCAAAGCTACACAGAGAAACCCTGTCTCGAAAAACCAAAAAACAAAATAAAATAAAATAAAATAAAAAAACACCAAAAACCAAACCAAACAACAAACAAGAACTTGAGTGTAGCGGTGGTGGCGCACGCCTTTAGTCCCAGCACTCGGGAGGCAGAGGCAGGCGGATCTCTGTGAGTTCGAGGCCAGCCTGGGCTAGAGAGCGAGATCCAGGGCAGCCGGGGCTGCACAGAGAAACCCCGTCTCGGAAAACCGAATATGTATCTTACTATACCAATGAAGACAGCTTGCGGCAGCAGTGCCTCGCTGTGGGCGGATAAACTGGAAGCTTCCCGCTCTAGAACAGTCCATGGAGGTCCTGGATGCAGCCCCTGCCCCCAGCCACCGGCTGGGCTCGAGGACACTCGGGGGCACAGGGGTCCCCTCACATCCTGTTTCCACTCCTGCTTTCTGGGGTGGGAACTGGGTCACCTGGACGGTACTAGGTTCTGTCAGAGGCGGCATGCAAACGAGCTGGCGAGGCCTTCCTCTTTCCACCCCCCTCCTCTGTCTACCCACTGCGGCTCACAGGAAAAGGGACCTTCCTGCTCTACGGCTCAGACGCGACCACAGGCTGGGGGGAAAGCTGGGGGCGTGGCCTGCACCCTGGGGCGTGGCCTGCAGCCTGGGGCGTGGCCTACGAGGCCGCCGCCGTCAGTGGGAGGGGCCCAAACGTAAGCTCCAGCCTCTCATTGGGCAGCAGCGGGGGTGGGTGGGACTCGGCGCGGGCCGCGAGGTTTACCCTGCCTCGGGCCCAGGGGGGAGCCCGCTCGGAGCGCACCACCAGTTGATGGGCAGGAGGGGAGGCGGTTGGGGGCGTGGCCGGCGCGCTGGGGGCGTGGCCCGCCAGGGGCCGCAAGCGTCCGAGGGCGGGGCCGAGGCGCAGGTACGCACCTCCCATTGGGCGGGGGCGTGGCGGGGCCTGGCGCCGCTGGGAGGCAGGCCCCGCCCCCGGCCCGCGGGGATCTGCGCGGCGGTGGAGGCGGTGAGCGCGCGGTCTTGCGGCGGCGGTTGGCGGGCGGGCTTCCGCCGCTGGGACCGCCGCGGCCTGGTCGCTCAGGCTCGGACTCCGCGTCGGGCGGGCTGGGGGTGGGTGAGCCCGCTGCGGCCGTGGGAGGGCCGGGCGGGGCGCAGGCGGAGAGCCTGGGGAAGGGCGGCGGCTGGGCCGCGTCCGGTTCTGCGCAGGGCCCATGTGCGGCCGAGCCCCGCGGGTGCTGAGAACCTCCAGTTTCCTGCTGCGAACCCTGGGTTTTCTTCCCTGGATCCCCTTCTCTGTAGTCTGAGACCCCGTGTCCCCCCCCCCCCCGAGAGCCCCGTATTTTCGGCCTGTCTTCACCCTGAACCCCGTATTTCCGGCCTGATAGCCCTCGTCTGCAGCCTGAATCCCGAGTTTTCTGCCTCACCTCCCCCTCTTTGCAGCCTGGACCCGTGTCCCTGCTGAGATCCCGAATTTCCTGCTGGAAGCCCCGAATTAACCCAATTTTCCCACCTCTGCAGCGTGAACCCAACATTTCTTACTTGACCCCCCTCTCTAGCCTGAACCGCGAATTTCCTGCTTGGTACCCCGTTTCTGCAGCCTGAACCTGTGTCCTTGCTGAGAACTCTGAATTTACTGCATAGACGCCTCTGTGCAGCCTGAACCCTCGTTCCTTCCTGCTGGACCCCCTGTCTGCAGTCCAAACCCAGAATTTCCTGCTCGAACCTTACCCGTCTTGTGAACCTAGAGTGTTGTGTCAGAGTCCCAGTCTTTGCAGCTGCGTCCCTGTAGCTTGACCTCATGCTGCAGACCCTGTATTTCCCGTTGAACTCCAGCTCTACGGCCTGAATCTCAGTCCCTTGTGTGAACTTTGCTTCCCGTACTGTCCCCCGGACTGTGGAACCCGGTCCCTGCAGACCCTGTCTCTGCTCCCTGACTCCTCCCTTGCTGCCCAAACCCTCTGCTCCCTGAGCCCTATCTTTTGTTATCTGAATTCCCATACCTGCTTAGAAGTCTTCATTTGCCTCCTGAAATCCCATCCTTGCTGGAAACCCAGTGTTAGCCGTCCCCCCAACTCTGCCGCCCGTACCCCCTCTGGGAACACTGTCTTGCTTCTGTGAACACTCATACTACATAAACCCTGGTTTCTGTCGGTCTCCTTGTCCCTGGTGTCCTTCCTGCTGCTCTGGTCCCCCCTCCCCCATCTTTCCATTTCTGTCCACAGGCCTGGCCCTCTCTGCCAGGGGTGTCATGTCCTGAAGGCCTGCATCTGTCCCTGTCCTTCCAGGGAACGGGGCAGCCGCGGGCGTGCGTGCATGCGTGTGTGTGTGTGTGTGTGCGCGCGCGTGTATGCTGCCCTCACCCTTCAGGCCTAAGGCTGGGGGGTGTGAGCTTTGACTGGAGCGCCTGCTGCTGCTGTGGGTGCCCTGGGTGCGACCTTGAAGAGGGGTCTGTTGAGTTTTACTTATGGGAAACAGTGCGCCCATTCCCCGTGTCCCAGGACCCTGCACTGACTGACTGATGGCCAGGTTCCCTGTCTCCTGGAGGCTGTGTGTGAGGCCGGCGTCTGCCCTTGAAGCTCCTGTCGGTGCGAATGTCACTGAACGCAAGCGGAGCGTTTCTAAAGCGTCACACGCGTTTTGTTGCAGGGCACCTCCGGCATCAGGCTCTGTAGCACCGTGAGGGGAGCTTCTTCTTGCCACAGCTCCGCGTCATGACGGATGCCAAGTATGTCCTGTGCCGATGGGAGAAGCGGCTGTGGCCTGCGAAGGTGACGGCTCTTTTCTCTTCATTGTGGAATTAGAAATGACTTGGTGACAACAAGGTCTTTATCAGGCTCTGCTCCCTCGGAGTGAATGCTTGGCGCCCGGATCTGCTGGCATGCGTCCCGGGGTCCCCTCCACTCCACCGGGTTTTGGTCTGGCACTCAGGAGCCTCTATATCCAGAATTGTCTTTAATTATTTTTCGCACTAAGGAAAAGAAAAAAATAAATAAATAAAAATAACCAGAGTCGACTATAAAAAGGCATGGAAGGCTGTGACTACAGGAAGTGCCTAGCTAGGCGCCCCCAGACAGGGAGTAACTGTGGTGTTTAGGGGTGCTTTCTAGCAATTTAGCAGGAAGTGCTGAGCCTGTGCCCTAACCTTGGATGGCCATGGGCTCAAGTGCCTCAGTTTCTCTGCCTGAATCAAAGGAGCTCAAATTAGGTGCCTGTTCAATCCTATGGCTGTCACCTTAGGAAGGGCTTGCCACATGTCTGTTCCTGCACGTTGCCATAACAAGATTTTTTTTTCTTTTTTTACACATAGGTTTTGGCCAGAACTGAGACTTCAGCGAAAAATAAGAGAAAAAAAGAATTATTTCTAGATGTTCAAATACTGTCGCTAAAGGAAAAGTTAAGTGTATGGTTTTTTTGTTTTTTAAATGGTCTCTCCCCTTCTGTCTGAGGCTTCTAAAATGGTTCTCACAAAAAGAAGGGAAACCTGCTTCTGCTGGATTTCGTCTTTCCACACTAACAGCCTTGTCCATAGGACAACGGGTTTTATTTGACACCAATTTCAAGCTGAAGGTCTTCCATGAGGCCCAGAGATCTGCAGGGAGACGGGTCTCAAGGGCGAATAAATAGAAATTTTCCCCAGGGAGCCATGCTGTGGTCTCCCTCCCACCGAGGGCCAGTGTGACTTGGTTCTGCTCCGGCTGTGCCGGGCCCACTGTGCCACTAAGAAAACATTTTTCCACGCCAGAAAGGCAGACGGGTGGCAGGACTCTGTTTTGCTGCACCTGGTGACCCTTCATGGGTCATCTGCAAGGACATTGTGGGTGTGGGCCTGCGTACTGTCCCCTGCCACCGTCCTCCCTTCTGAAGAGTCCACGGGCTGCCCGTCTCCCGGGTCCCCCAGCCCGCTCCTTCTTGTACCATCTTCAGAGCTGCCACCACTCGAGAGTCCCCAGCTCCCGCTCTCCCTGCGGCAGGGAAGGTAATTGAATACTTGAGTTTAAAAGGAAAGCGCGTCCTTTTAAACTAAAACGCGCCTGCTGGGTTGTAAACAGCTCTCGGTGACATTAGCGGCTACTCGGAAAACCTAACAAAGGAGTTATTTGTGCAGTTGAAAGTCGGATTTGCCTCATGAAAGTCCCAATTTGAATTTATTTTCACTCTTAGCTCCAGCCGACCTTTTCTTTCTTAAAAGCGGGGGAAAATGGGAGAAAAAAAAGAGAGAAAAAAAGCCATATCCACCCTGGTTGGCTGTGCCTGTCCCCTCGGGCAGTGTGTCCCGCCTGCCCTCCTTCAGTGTGACTCTCGGTATGAGCGGAAGGTTGAGCAGGACGTCTGGACAGTCAGCTTGGCAGGCTGGCGGCACTAACGGCTCTTTGTTGCCCGCCGCAGGATCCAGGTGAAGAGCTCGGCCGTGGAGAAGCTGCAGAAGTCACACATTGAGAACATTGCCGCCTTCCTGGGTAAGGGCTCCAGCCAGGCCTCCAAGGTGCTGTGCCACCGCGACGCCTCTTCATCTCGGGGAGCCTCACAGAAGGGAAAATGGATTGCTTGCCTTTATTTTTTTCCCTTCCCCCTTTTGAGACAGGGTCTTATGTAGCCCCGGTTGGTCTTGAAATCACTGTAGAGCAGAGGCTGACCTTGAACTCCCGATCCTCCTGGCTCCAGTCCCCAGTGCTGTGATGATGCATTCATGTGTGCTGGGGACAGAACCCAGGGCCTTGTGCGGAGTGAGGACTTAACTCCCAACTCGGCACCTGCTCTCCAAGCCCACACCAGAGTCGGCTCTAGTTGCTTATGTCTGTGGCTTTTTGTTTGGGTAGTGCTGGCCTGCGGAATAGCCACTGAGCTGCGGCCTCTGCTTCTGTGGGTTTTTGTGTTTGTTTCTTAGTTTTTGAGGTAGAGTCTCCTACTGCAGGCCAGGCAGGCCTGGAAGTGGTGGCAGTCCTCTTGCCTCAGCCTTTCAAGAGCTGGGATCACAGGTTCCAGCTGGGGTCCTCCACATACCAATAGCTTCTCAGACCTGTAGCCAAAACCAGACCTACCAGATGGCAAGAGCCCTCTTTCTTTTTTTTTTTAAATTTTCCGGAGCTGAGGACCAAACCCAGGGCCTTGTGCTTGCTAGGCAAGCGCTCTACCACTGAGCTCAATCCCCAACCCCAGCAAGAGCCGTCTTAAAGATAGCCTTGTGATGGGCATGGAGGACAGGAGAGGACGCCTGCCCCCACAGGAGCAGAGAGCCACTGTCCCTGAGCCCAGAGGCCGTTCTCTGGGGATGGAAACGGCCTTGAAGCGCAGAGTCAGAAGGACTAGGAAGGTAGTGGGTGGCAGGTCCCAGGCCAGCCTGCTGCAGCCTCAGCCTCTGCAGAGGTGAATGCTGGGCTGGGCCAGAGCTCTGTGGTAGGAGCCCTGCTCACATGAAGCCTTGCATTTAGTCTTTGGAACCACTGCATGCATACATAACATACAGACATTGAGACAGAGGCACATGCATCTATGACAGACAGACACACGTGAATGTATAACAGACACGTGCATACATAACATACAGAGAGACACACACCCATGCATACATAACACAGACAGACGTGTATACATAACATACAGGGAGACACAGACATGCATATATAACCTCCAGACAGACATACACGTACGTACATAACATATGTACAAACATATATGCATACATACATACATAAATTGCCAATTAAAAAGCCCAGGGGAGCAAGGACAGAGCGGTCAGCTTTCATGCCGCTGCCACCGCCACCTCCCTGTCACCTGCAGGTACTGTCGGTGAGGTGCGTTTGGCTGCGTGGGGTGGGAGGACTCCTCTGTGTGTGTAGGGCCTCAGTTCAGCACCCCTCACCCTTCCTCTTATGGCTGAGCTAGACTTCTTCTGCACCCCGTTCCAGGCCTGGTACTGGCACACTTGGCAAGGGTCCTAGGTGGCGGCAGTCACCACCCAGCAGAGACAGGCCCAGGGCAGCTGAAGCCAGGGCTCCGTCTCCTGGAACCCACAGCTGTTGAGGGGTAGCTGTGCTGACCCTTGAGAACATCCTTGAGAACAAGGATGTTCCCAGTGCAGGCACCAAGTATGGGTCTGGTCGACGGAGGCAGTTATCCTGGCGAGTGTGAAGCTGTCCCCAACGTCCCATTCAAATAAACAGTGCAAGACATCCGGACATGTTTATACACAGTGTTGTTTCGGAACTTGGCGGGAGTTAGTGGTTATCCAGTCAGGCTGAGGTCATTCTGGGTGTGTGCTGGTCTTCAGTCATAGCCCACAGTGAATGTGTAGCCATGTCTTGGCTTTGTCCTCTTTTTGGGGGTACACATAGCAGAGTAGTGTCGGGCCTGCCTGTGGCTCTGTAGAGGCGGGTGCTGGGCATTGGTGAGGCCACTGTCTGCTGCTGCATGCACCTGAGCAGGCCCTCACTGTGCGATCTCTGTCTCCACAGCCTCTCAGAATGACGTGCCAGCTGCCCCCCTGGAGGAGCTGGCCTATCGACGTTCGCTGCGAGTGGCCCTGGACATCTTGAACGAGAGTACCAGCTTGAGTCCTGAAGGCCATCTGACTGAAGATGAGACCTCACCGTCCCAGAACGAGAAGCCATACGCACATGTGGCCTCTTGGGTCCCCAGCGCCCCCTCCCCATCTCTTTGTGGTGAAGATGATGAAGATGTGGCTGCTCGGCGCACACCCAAGAGGAGGTGGGAATGCGTACCACAAAGCCTGGCGGGGTTGTGTGCATCTGAAGAGGACCCCAAGACAGACCTCCCAAAGAATGCAACCCCGAGGCCAGCATCGCCTTTCCCCACTGGAGATGGGTCTCAGGACAGTTCTGGGTCACAACCGGACCGTGGACAGGAGGATACAACCAATAAAAGGCAGAGGAATTTGGGAGAGAAACCTACCCGGCGCCGCAGAACAGAGTCTCGCCTTTCCAAGGGGGAGAGTCTTTCAGGCAGCGAGGGCCAGGCAAGCAGCTCTGCCGCCCTGGCTTCACCTAGGCTACTCTCCCAAACCTGGGGAGAGGACCCCTGTGCCGGGGTCAAAGGCTGTGACCAGCTTGTGCCATCAGGCAGCAGCAAGCTGCTCCTGGCCTCCGAGAGAGGCAGAGGCCGCACCACAAAGAGGCCACGCTTGGATGGAGGCCAGAACCCACCCGCCAGGCAGCTGGGGACTGGAACTGTGGGGGCAGCGCCCTCCCCTGGGAGCTGGTCTGGGGAGGCCATGGCGCTGTGCAGTGCTGGTGACAGTGAGCAACCAGAGGAAGGTAACCACGAGCAGGGACGCCTGCTGTCCCCCAAGGCGTAGTGACTCTCTCCTCGCAGATACCTCTGTCTTTGTGTTTGAGTGGGAGCTCAGGCAGAGTTGGGGGTAGCAGTCAGTGACCCCTGAAAAGCACTTCTGTGTTGCTCTTGCTTGTTGAGTATCAAAAGCACATTCCCAGTAAGTGAGGGGCCCTGCTGAGGGGATTAGGGGGCCTAGTGTCAGGAGCCTTCCAGAGGTCATTCTGAAACCTGTGGGTGGCTGCAGCCAGGGGCTGGTCTCCTGTAAACCTGTCTTGACCCACTGAGCTCTGGCAGGGAGATCAGAAATCAGGTGTGTGGTCTGGTGGTCGTGGGACACAGTGGGATCCTTCACGGGGCCATCCTCTGCCTGTCCCCTCTACCATGTCTCACCTTGTTGCAGTCACCTTTTGGTTCTGGGGGAGCCATTCTCTGTGTATCCACATGTCAGACAGGGTCGCCACCTGGAGCTCCCACACTTTCTGTCACTGAGTGAGTGCCGCTGTCTGCTTCTCTTCCTGTTTATTTTATTTTTTAAGATGTACTTGAGGCTGGAGCTCACACAGCTAGAGCACTCGCCTGGCAAGCATGAGACCCTTTGTTCATCCCTAGCACCAGAATTTAAACAAAACGGAGGGCCAGCGAGGTGGCTCAGCAGGTGAAGACCCTTGCCATCAAGCTTGGTGACCTGAGTTTGATCTCAGGAACCCACAGGGTGGAAAGAGAGAACTAATTCCACAGAGTAGTTCTGACCTCCATGTGTGTGCTCGAGTGCACACATGTGCATGCACACACATGCACAAACACACATTCACACACACACATGCTTAGACACATGTATGCACACACAAACCTCACATAAGCATGCACAGACACACACAACATGCATGCATAGACACACACAAGTACATGTAGAGAATGTTCAAAAATGCAAACACAGATCTGACCACAGAGTGCACCCTTGTTGAATTGTGTGCAGGCTCAGTCTTTGTCGTAGACGGTCCTTTGTCCCTAGCCCTTGGCAGGGTGAGAGGTGGCCATCAAGTGGTGTCCCCCTGTCTCGGCAGATCTTGTGTCCTCGGAAGAGTCCATAGGGTTCAAGTCCATCCACCCCCTGCTGGAGGAGGAGGAGGAAGAGGAAGAGCCGCCCCGGATCCTTCTGTATCACGGTAAGAGAGTGGCACATTTGAGAGAGCGGTGGGTGAGGCCCCACCCTGCGCAGCACTCCCTGAAGTCCTCATTGTTTGGCGCTGGTGGTGATTTGGTTTTGTTTTTAGACAGGGTCTCACGGTGTGCCTCTAACTGGCCTGGAACGTGCTGTGTAGACCAGGCTGGCCTCTAATTCAGTGAGATCCCCCTGCCTCCGCTTCGAGAATGCTGGGATGAAAGGTGTGCGTGCACCTCCATACCTGACATTTCAGTTTTTTGCTCTGACTGACCCGAGACCTGTCCAGAGCCTCTAATGGTGCCTTGAGAGGAGGCAGAGGACTCAGGGGAGGTGGCCAGCCCTGTCCTGCTCCTTTCTGGGCACACGGAGGGAAGGTGTAGGCTCTTCTGCTCTCAGTGGGGCAGAGCCACCTTTGCAGTGGTGCGGGAGCCCGTGTCTGTCTGGGGAAGTGCAGGTCCTCCCTAAAAGTACTGCTGGATGGGGTGCAGCCGAGAAGGACGTGGGGGTTAGGGCGGCTGAGTGCACAGGCATGGCTCAGCCGCTGAGAACCCAGGGCCTCTCCTGAGCCAGGTGCGCGCTGGGATGCTGCTCAGATGACGCAGGGCAGGCTGGGGGCAGCTGCAGACACCGGGTTCTTAGTGAAGGCCGCCAGGTTCCTCCATCTCACCTCCTGTTCCTTCCGAGTGGCTGAGTTCCCGCTGAGTACCTAGAGTGTTAGAAGGGCCTGGGTGCTGGTGTGAGCTGCGCCCCGCAGCTCTTCGTGGTTTGGGTCAGTTCTGGAGATCAGGGCGTCCTGGCTGCAGGGGGCCTCAGCTTCGTGGCCGTGGATGGCAGGTTTGAGCTGATGGCTTCCTTAACCCACCAGACCAACTCCTGACAATTGCCAGTTCCCAGCCAGGGTCTCTTCGGTCTGAGCTGTGACCTCCTCGGAGCTTGTCACCACCACCCCTCATTCCTGCTGGCCCAGGAGCCCTTCACAGCCTTTGGGTTTCATGGTGGGAAGCATGGCAGCACCTCTCCACTCCTGCCAGTTTTCCTGATGCTGAAGCTCTGTCTACTCCAGTCCGCCATCCTGGGGTTCTTGACAAATAGAAAATGCTAAGTTGTACGCAGAAAGCCAGGTGAAGGCAGAGGGATCCCTGCAAGTTGAAGGTCAGCTTGGACTCCATAATAAAATCCTGCCTTAGAAATTAGTAACAGATCGGGCAGTGGTGGCGCATGCTTTTAATCCCAGCACTCGGGAGGCAGAGGCAGGCGGATCTCTGTGAGTTCGAGGACAGCCTGGTCTACAGAGTGAGTTCCAGGACAGTCAGGGCTACACAGAGAAACCCTGTCTTGAAAACCCAAAAAAACAAAAAACAAACAAAAGAACAAGTTAGTAACAAAGCCAGGGCTGCGGCCCGTGTTGGAGCGCTTGTGTGGTACCCGCAAAGCCTGGTTTCGGGTCCGTCCTCAGCAGCCTCATAAACCGGGCACGGTGCACACCTGTCACCCCAGCACTTGGGAGGCAGAGGCCAGCCTGGGCTACAGAGCGAATTCTAGGACAGCCTGGTGTACATAGACCCCTGTCTCAAACCACAGCACAGAATGACTTTTCCTCCTCTGAAAATATTGTGTTTTCTGTATTTTGTGACCTCAATCTGAGAAATTGTCCTGGGAGGACAATTTATTCTGTGAGCCGTGATTATATAATCCACGTTTTGGTGCAGAGTGCCCAGCATGAACCATGCCCGGCATGGACGCAGTCATCTAAATGTGTGCTTTGGGAAGGATGGTAGACTTAGAAATGGAGGTTTGGGATAGAGCTCATCCATCCTACTGCTGGCCTCATCTCCTGCCACAGGACGTTTGTCACTGGGGGGACACACAGTCAGGGCCTCGTGGCCCATAATGGGTGCTCAGACTCTGTCTCTGAGCCCTGTGTCTGCCTGAACTGTCTGGGTTTCCTGGTATTTGAGGTTAGAGTTGGGCTGAAATGATGCCATGATGAACGTGGATTTTTCTTTTTCTCTGTCTATACTGTCCTTGTTTGAGGTGCCTTTGACTCAGCTCTTCTTTTCCTTCCTTTTAATCCTAGAACCACGATCATTTGAAGTAGGAATGCTGGTCTGGCTTAAATACCAAAAATACCCGTTCTGGCCGGCTGTGGTAAGTGTATCTGCCACCCGCTGCTGCGGGCATCAGGTCCCTCAGCTCAGCTCCTGTTTCCCTGCTCAGGCATGGAGATTGCTGGCTCTGTTAATGCTGGAAGGCTCAGGCCACTTAACATGACATTCTAAGTGAGATTCCCGCCACGTCACCTCAGGGAAGCCTGTGTGAGCAATGTGCTCTGCTGAGCTTCGGGAATGGGTGCTTCAAGTTTCCTCCATTCGAGACCCCTGAATTTAGGTCCTATAATGCCATGGGCATGATGGCGCGTGCCTGTTAATCCCTGTACACAGAAGGCTGAGGCAGGAGGATCAAAGTTTATGGTCCAGCTACATAAGAATGTTGGAGACCAGCCTGGGACACAGGAGAACTGTCTCAAAAACAAAACAAAATAATAATGACGATAAAAAGGTGTCTGAGTCCCACCGAAGGTCTGTTGTGTGGCCAGTGAGCTCTGCCAAGGGCAGCCCCAGGTACATTCATGCACTGGAGCTGCAGCCGTCCGTCCTGCGGGGGCTTCTCCAGGTGGAGGCTCTCCCACCCTGTCATCTCTTTGTGCCCGCCCCTCACTCCCCTGTCACGGATGCTGTCCTCACACTTAGCTTATTTTATGGGTTTATGTCTTGTTTTGGAAATCTTTTGTTTTTGTTCTTCGAGGCAGGGTTTCTCTGTGTAGCCCTGGCTGTCCTGGAACTCACTCTGTAGACCAGGCTGGCCTGGAACTCACAGAGATCCTCCTGCCTCTGCCTCCTGAGTGCTGGGATCAAAGGCGTGTGCCACCACTGCCTGGTTCTATTTCTTTAAGGGTGGAAGCCAGGACCTGGAACATTCTAGCTCTAGACAGGTGCCATGCCACCGGGGCCACAACCCGAGCCCCAGTGAAATTTCTATCAGATGGTGCGGGTTTTTAGTCCTGGAATGCTGGCTGTTTGTGGTGCTGCAGGCCTGTCATCCCAGCACTTGGGAAATTAAGGCGGAAGAGTGTCAAGTTCAAGACCCTGCCCCAAAAGAGGGACGGAGGAGAGAGGCAGACAGACAGAGTGCCTGAGGTGAGAGCAGCTGGAATCTGAGTGGCTTGCCAAGCGATAGCTGGGCCTCGTGTGGGAGCAGCTGGCTGAGGGACTCTGGTGGCCTGGCTCAGCCCTGTCCTGCACCCTCCCACACTTCCCCCGTGTCTTTTCTTACGGTTGTCTCTTCCCAGGGCTGACGGGTTTCTGGTGTGCCAGTCTCCGGGCACAGGATTAGGCCTGAGGGTTGGCATCTTGGGGTCCATTTGTACTGCTCAGGAAAGGGCTTGCCGCTCTCCCTTTCGCATGGCCCGGGGAGAGGGGCCATGTCAGGTCCCCACAGTGGATTCTGGGCTTCCCCTGGTGCCCAGCCTCCGTGAACAGCTTCCGCTCAACCCAGAGGCACAGGCAGGGACACGGGCTGTCTTGCCAGCACCTAGAAGGTCACCTCAACCACATGAAGAGTTCAAAGCCAGGGTAGCTACGTGGGATTCTTTTCTTTTTAAAAATTTTTCTGAGACAGGGTTTCTCTGTGTAGCCCTGGCTGGTTTGGAACTCACAGAGATCCACCTGCTTCTGCCTCCTGAGTGCTGGGATTAAGGGTGTACCCTACTGTTGCCTGGCTTACATGAGACCCTAAAGAAACAAAATGGGTGGGTAGGGCAGCCTGGTGGTAAGTTCTTGCTGTACTGGCATGGGGACCCGAGTCCAGCTCATAGAGTGCACAGAAAGGCAGACTGGAGTGCGCCTGTGTCCTTCGTGGGGATGGAAGGCAGAGACGGGGGAGCTTGAGAATCTGGCTGCTAATCTGGTGCACGCACTGATAGAGAGCTTCTCAGGAAAGGTGGACGACCAGGGTTGTCTGTGGCCTCCACACGTGGACCTCTGCACATGTCCACAAAGGTTTCAAAACAAGACCCAGTGGAGAATCGCTGGATTCTGCGTCATAGTACCACAGAGCCCCAGGAAGCAAAGGGGGTCTGAAGCCTGGGTCACGCTCCACACCACACTGGCCAGGCCCAGTCCCAGAGGGGGTCTCAGAGGAGCTGGGGAACGTCACCTCCGCCCGCCCCTTGTCATGCTGTGCTATCCCGATTTGTCCACAGGTCAAGAGTGTCCGGCGGAGAGACAGGAAAGCCAGCGTGCTGTTCATTGAGGGCAACATGAACCCCAAGGGCCGAGGGTCAGTACTCTGATGGGCCTGGGCAGGGCGGAGACCTCTGTGGTGGCCCTGACTAGAGCTGCTGACACAGTCTGGTGTCCACAGGGCCACTTGGTGCCTCGGCTAGATAGCTAGAACAGGCGCCCAGGCCCCGTGTCCCCGCACGCGCCCCGCAGAGGAGGTTCAGCACGATGTGGTTCTTGATTGAACTGGATCTGGCCAGTTTGGCTATGGGTCCTCTGCTAGGCCAGCAGCACACAGGAGCGGTCAGCCCTCTCACAGTGGTCCCCGAGGCCCCTCAGGCACCTTCCAGAAGGTGACCCTGGACACCTGTGTGCACCCGAGGGTGGCTGGGTGGGGTAGGGACCTGGGCCCCATGCCATGGAGGAGCTGCAGCCCAAAGCAAGGTTAAGTCTGGGAGGAGGGCGCCTCCCCGGGATGCGGCTGCCCTGCTGACCTTGGCCTCTGTTCCATCAAGAATCACCGTGTCCCTCCGAAGGCTCAAGCACTTTGACTGTAAGGAAAAGCACGCACTGCTGGTAGGTGGCAGCCTGTGCTGTGTGTGTGTTTGTGCACGTGTGCACGGTTGTGAGGGTGTGCGTGTGCTGAGGCACCTGTGGAGGTGGAGGACAGCCTGGGTGTCGGTCCTGCCCCTTGTTTTCCACTGTGCTGTGTACCCCAGGCTCGCTGGCCCTCGGGCTCTTTGGACTCTGTCTCCATCCCGTCTCACCCTCGGAGTGAGGGGCCACGCTGCACTACCACGTCTGATTTTCTGTGGTTCTGGGGATTTGAACTTGCCTTCCTGAATGAGCTTGGTCTCTGGCCAGGAAGACTTGTTGTGCTCACGCAAAGACAAAGCGCCAGGTGTGGGCGGATGCTCTGCACTGAGCTGTCAGTCAGGTGTCATGGCTCCTGAGCGTGGCCGTGACGGCCCGTCCCTCTGAGTGGCACCCTGGGACCGCGGGAGGTGTGGGCACTGAGACGGTGAAGGGCACTGCTTGCTGTAGATGCATACCAGGCCGTCTCATCACCAACATCCATTTGGTGAAGTGTGCCAGGGTGAGGACCTGAGCCATCCCCAGAACCCGCTTGAAGGGGAAGCACGGTGGTGCGTGGGAGAGGAGACAGACAGACAGTCCTTAGGGCTCACTGAGCAGCCCGTCTAGCAGAGTCGGGCAAGCTCCCGGTTCAGAGAGAGACTGTCTGAGCAGAGGTCGGTCAGCTGAGGGTGGTACCCAGCCTCCATCTCTGGCCTCCACACGTGAACATGCACAAATCTGGGTGTGGGACACAGCATCCCCAAGGTGACTGGGGAAGTTGGAGGGTGACCCACATCCACATGTCAGGTGTGCGGTGCTGGCTAGCAGCTGAGGCAGGAGGATTAGGAGTTCAAGGGCCAGCCTTGGTTACATACAAGGCCTGGACTACATGAGACTGTCTAAAAAAGACTAAAAAGGTCAGTCCGGTGGCTTGCTGGCTGCTTCACCTGAAGGGACTTGTCCGTCACACCCCCTGAGAGGGCCAGGCCACAGTGAGTGGATGCGAGCCTGGGCCACACAGCACCTCCCTGAGCCTGGAGCCCGGGAAGCCAGGGCTCAGGGCCGCGGAGCTGCCACAGCCACCGGCGCCTGCTGTTGTTTTTTGTAGGACAGAGCCAAGGAGGACTTTGCCCAGGCCATCGGCTGGTGTGTCTCGCTTATCACCGACTACCGTGTGCGCCTGGGTATGTGGGCTGTACCCCAGGGAGTGGGGGTGTGTACCACGCCATTGGCACCTCCTGAGGGCAGGATGGAGGAGCTGAGGTGGATGTGGTCCTGTCCCGCATCCTGTCTTGGCCCTGCTGACCTGTGACGACACTGTTTCTGTGGAAGGTGGGAGCAGGCGCAGCCTCCTGACTGAAGGGCCGGGCCCTCCACACAGCACCGCCTCTGTGTGGTGACTGACCCCTGGCAGCTCCTTCCTGAGGCAGTGGACAGACCTGCACCCCACAGACCTGCCTCAGGTCAAGCACAGACCAGAAGGCTCCTGGCCAGGAGTCCTGAGCCACAGGAGCTGGCAGGATGCAGGTCTGAGCACGGCCCTTTCTCGTGTCCTACACAGGCTGCGGCTCCTTTGCTGGGTCTTTCTTGGAGTATTATGCTGCTGATATCAGTACGTATACGTGTTCTTCGCATGGGGTCTGCCTCTGGTCCTTGAGAGACCATCATTGCCAGTCTCCTGCCATCCTTGGTACATGCACTGAGATGCCAGTCTTACTCTGGGCAGGGCTCTGTGACCTCAGCTGCCCTCCTGCCCTGCATTCCTGTCAAGTGGACAGCTGTGTGCCGGGCGAGGGGGTCTGAGGAATACTGTCTTCACCCCGGGGCATTTAGCTGGTGCACTCGATGGTTCCCAGAATGAGGATTCTCCTCCTGGGCAAAAGCGCTCTGGAGAGAGGGAGGGGAGAGGTGGAGAGGACACAAGCTCCCAAGGTGTGCTCCCCTCACAGGCTACCCCGTGCGCAAGTCCATCCAACAGGACGTCCTGGGGACCAGGTTTCCTCAGCTGGGCAAGGGGGACCCTGAGGAGCCTGTCGGGGACAGCCGGCCAGGACAGTGTCGGCCGTGCAGGAAGGTCCTGCCCGACCGCTCCAGGGCTGCGCGGGACAGAGCCAACCAGAAGCTGGTGGAGTACATTGTGAAGGCCAAGGGTGCGGAGAGCCACCTGCGGGCTGTCCTGTGCAGCCGCAAGCCCTCTCGCTGGCTGAAGACATTCTTGACCTCGGGCCAGTACGTGACTTGCGTGGAGACATACCTGGAGGACGAGGCACAGCTGGACGAGGTGGTGGAGTACCTGCAGGACGTCTGCCGAGAAATGGACGGCGAGGTGCCTGCCCGGGGCAGTGGGGACCGCATTCGCTTCATCCTGGACGTGCTGCTGCCCGAGGTGGGGGCCCCTTGCTCAGCCGCCCCATGCCCCCTGGGCGGGCCCCCATGCCCCCTGGGCGGGCCCCCATGCCCCCTGGGCGGACCACCATGCCCCCATGCCCCCTGGGCGGACCACCATGCCCCCTGGGTGGGCCCCCATGCCCCCATGCCCCCTGGGCAGGCCCCCATGCTTGCTGTGGCCCCCACTGTCTTATTGCTGTGGCTAGGACATGTCCGCTTCAGTTAGAAAGTAAAACATGGTGGAGCTGTGTGCTAGCTTCGTAGCTCAGGCCGGCCTCAAACTGGGCATCGATCCTCCTACCTCAGCCTCTAAGTACTTGGGTGACAGATCTGACCTCCACACCTGACCCCTGGAGTCACCTATAAGTACTTCAGTGTGTAACTTAAAACTGGGTGGTTTTGACTGTCTCGGGCTTAGCAGCCTAGGGTCAGGTGTGACAGTCCCAGGCGGGGAGGTCCTGAGGAGCAGGCAGTGCAGATGCTTCTGAGCACGCACGCTAGAGGCCTGGGATGCCCCATCCGAACTGAAGACAGCTCTAAGGACCTGTCACCCAGCGCTCGGCTGCTGTGGTGGGAGGACACAGACTTCAGGCCAGCCCAAGCTGCACAGTGAGACCATTTCTTTCTTTTGGTTTTTCGAAACAGGGTTTCTCTGTGTAGCCCTGGCTGTCCTGGAACTCACTCTGTAGACCAGGCTGGACTCTTGAACTCCCAGAGATTCACCTGCCTCTGTCTCCTGAGTGTTGGGGTTAAAGGCGTGCGCCACCATGCCCAGCAGAAACAATTTCAAACACCAGTGATATATTTATCAAAACCACAGTGTGACTACCTAAACTAATGGTAGTTCCCTAAGTTCCTGTCAGAACTGTTACACATTCAGACAAGGTCTTGGGTCCAGGCTGCTCTTGAACTTGACGATCCTCCTGCCCTGCTGTCCCTGGGGGCTGGGATGACAGGTATACATCACCACCCGTGGTTGATGTGATGCTGGGATGGAACCCAGGGCCTCCTGCACTCCAGGCTGGCTCTCTGCCCACTGGGCCACAGCCCTCTCCGTCTCTCCTCAGGCAATCATCTGCGCCATTTCTGCAGTGGAGTCAGTGGACTACAAGACAGCCGAGCAGAAGTACATCCGTGGTCCGACACTTAGCTACCGGTAGGCCCCTGGATGCTGTGCAGTTAAAGCGGCATGGCTGCTCAGCTCCTCCGTGAGGAGGCGTGGTGCGTCTGTGTCCGCGCACAGGGGCTGGACAGGGCCTGGACCAAGGCCCGGGTCTGCAGCATTCTCTGAGCCAGGCTGGATGCAAGCCAGGACCCTGGGGCTGGGCAACAGCCTCCTCTGCGGTCGCGTGTGCTGCCCGAGACCCCTGTAATCTGCTTGTGTGGGGCGGTGTGGGCTCTGCGCCTCCTGCTCCGGTGCGGCTGGTGGCGGGCACAGAGCTAGATTAAGAGGCAACGTGGCCGTCAGCGGTGCAGCGGGATAAAGATGCCTCTCCTGTCGGCCGGCAGCACTCCTGAGATGTGTGGCCCCAGAGGCTCTAATCCACCTCTGGGCATGCTGCCAGACCTCAGTGGGAGCCAGGCGGGGCAGGCAGTGACAGGCAGAGGACTGCAGTGGGGTCTCCATCCAGAGCCACAACCAGGTCTGGCACGTCGGGGCACATGGCCCCTAACGCTATGTCAGCATCCTCAGGCGGGCAGTGGGCCACTGGCACAGGCCCTCTCTGTGCTCTAAGCAGCCCAGGGAGTGTGTGGTTCCTGTCATTTTCAAGATTTTGATCCCGAGGAGACATTGCATGCGACCCTGCAGGGTGCATCCAGTCCCCAGTTCCCTGCGTTCGAGGGCGTCACACTTAGTACACTCATCCAGCGTTCTCAGCCCATCATTGTGAGGTCCAGGCCAGCCTGGGCTACCTGGGCTACCGGGCTAGAGGATGTCAGTGTGGTTGTGTGTGCGATAGTTCCAGCCCTGGGAAAGTGGAGACAGGAGGACATTCTGGACTCAAGGCCGACAGCCTAGTTAGCAAGGACCATGTCCAGTGGGAGACCCTGTCTCCAACCAAAGTGGAGTTGGAGGGTGACGCCAGATGTCGGCCTCAGGCCTCCATGTCGTGAGTGTGCGTGTGAGTGTGTGTGCGCGTGTGTGTGTGCTTGGTGAGCGAGGTCTGCCACCGCACGCATTCTGTCTTCTGATGCAGTTCTTGAGTTGAACTCAAGTCTTTGCTCCTACGAGGCAGGTGCTTAATGCCCAGTCATGTCCAAAAGAATCCTCCTTTTCTTTTTAGATGTGTCTGTTTTATGAAAATGGGTGTTCTGCCTGCATGTGTGTGTGCCTGGTGCCTGTGAATGTCAAAAGAGGACATTAGATCCCCTGGGACTGGAGTTCGGGATGTTTGTGAGCCACCATGTGGGTGCTGGGAACTGAACTTCGGGCCTTGTCAAAATCAGCAGATTCTCCCAACCACTGAGCCATCTCTCCAGCTCCTGAAATAATATTCTTTAGAGTAAGTGTGGACAGGCAGAGTGAGGCAGGAAGATTGCTGTCTCACATGGGGTTGCTGCCCCACCGAGCGCTCATCTAGCTGGCAGGAAGCCCTGGGTTCCATCCCAAACTCACCTGGGAAAGTTGTGGGGTTTGGGGTTTTGTTGTTGTTGTTTTGAGACAACGGTTTATCTGTGTAATGCTGGCTGTCTTGTAGACCAGAGATCCTCCTGCCTCTACCTCCTGAGTGATGGGACTAAGGGTGTGCGCCACCACCGCCCGGCCCTCCTCCTTTTCCACGGCTCTTTTTCTTTAATGCGTAAACGCACCTGCTCAGCCAGCGTCATGCCGCTTGTCCTACGACCGCAGATGCTCTCTTGGCCCTGGAGTCTCACGGTCCTCTCTTGTTTCCTGAAGGGAAAAGGAAATCTTTGACAATGAGCTCCTGGAGGAGAGGAACCGGCGCCGGCGCTGTCGCTGATGCTGTGGCCTCCACCCTGCCAGCATGGCCTCCACAGCCTGCCAGGGGACTCTGCGGGAATGTGCTAGAAGCAAGAGGCCCCCGAGTGTGCTGACTTTGAACTGTGGGTCCTGCACCTTCAGTACTGAGTCCAGGAGATCAAATGTCATTGACACACCAGAAGCTTGCTGGCAGCTACAGACAGACGCTTTCTGGAAGTTTCTGTGCGTGTATGCTTGTTTTTTTTTTTTTAATTATTATTGTTAGTTTTGTTTATAAATGTGATTGAATGCACATGTGTCATGGTCACTTCACAGTGTGGCCGGCATATGTGCTTGGGTCCTGTGTTACTTAGTATGTCAACCCTACAGAAGTTTCTGGAAAGACTGATTTGAACACTCAGCTCCCAGAGCATTGACATGTTTCCCTGGTCGTGTTTTTCTTGTGTCCTCTCTGTAGTTTTTGGAATCTTTTCTGCCACTCCCGTGTGGTGAGCAGGGGGTGGGGACCCTTGAGCAGCAGTTTTTGTAGGTGGAACTGTTTGGGAGGGAGGTGGGGGCGTGTTTGGGAGGGAGGTGGGGGCGTGTTTGGTGTCCTCCCCATGAAGGGGACATGGACTCAGTGGGGAGGAGTGACCTCCACACCTGTCTCGGGCAGCACAACAGGGCGATGGTACAGGACCGCTGAGGTTCTGCAGAGACCCGCACGGCAGGGCGGTATTGTCTGCAGACCGCGAGGCCCAGAAGCCTGAGGCGGGGGAAGCGGGTCAGAGGCTTGCTCAGCCTGTCTTTCTTGCTGCCCATGGGGACTCCCCAGGAAGGGACACCAGATTGAGCCGTCAGTGTGGCTTCTGGGGCTCTGGACCAAGTAGCCAAAAGATACCAACGGACAGGAACTCAGCTTCCTGTTGGCTTTGGAAGTGGGCCTGCCCTGGTCCATGTGCGGCACTGGCGGGGAGTAGGGGCCTTTCAGAATGTCGTGTCTCTGGGGTTTTCACTGGCTGCTCCTGACCACATGGCCTCACTGAACGGGCTTGCTCTGTCTCGGCTCAGGAGTCAGCCGTGGTGACCTGGCTGAGAAGTGCTGCCCTGTAGGGTGGGCCTGGAGAAAACAGCACCCTGGCTCTGTCCTGGGTCCTGTGGGTGACAATGGCCTGTGGCTCAGCTTGTCCTGAAGCCACACCTTCCTCCACAGCTGGGGCCTGCCATAGAGGGACCAAGAAACCAGACATCACTCAGTCACCCTGCCTTGTCACCGTCCCCATGTCCTCCATGGCTCATAAGTGCGCTGTGACACCAGATAGGTCATTTTCAGGGCAACCTAGGCCCTCTATACTGTGTCGGGCAGCCCCACCGGCCAGCCTACATGCCAGGAATGCCCCAGTTGAAGTGGACACATCCTCCTGCTTCCGCCCCCAGTGTGCTGGGGTGGTCCTGCAGATTGGTATCCTCCAACCCCATCCCTAGGCTCCCTGGTGCCATCTTCTGGTGTTTTCCCACCTCCCATACCACAGGTACACAACCTGTGTCATCTTACACCCAGACCCTACATGATTTCGACTCAAATCCCCCCTGGGTGGCCAGCAGATGAAGGCCTGAGTGAGGACGCTGACACCCAGGCACACTGGGAATGGACTGTGTCATTGATGCTGTGCCATGCTGAGAACATGGGAAGTGTCCCTAGATCATCTCACCTGTCCGTCTGCATGGCCGCGTCCTTCCTCACCTCTTCCTGTCCCATCACACCCCCTTGCTGGCCCACAGCTGTTTATTGAGCCCCAGTCTGTCCCCTCATTTCCGTGATGTCCTTGAAGCTCTGGATTCCTGAGCATTAATTACTCCATCCCTCTGACCCTGTCCATCCACCAGGCAACCAGATACACTGACCAATCCTCTACCAGCCACAGCTACAGGTTATTACCCAGAGCCTGGTCTGGTGACAGGAAGCAGCTTCACTCCCGGTTCCTGCAGATTGGGTCAGGGAGCAGCTTGGTCAAGAGAGGTCAGGCATGGAGCACATCGTAAGACAGGAGACTCCTGCAGTGATGAAGCCAATGAGCATCTTACCCGCGCCCTGCCACCAAGCCATACCCACCCTTCTCTAAAATGTATCGCACTTATTGTGTGTGTGTGTGTGTGTGTATGAGTGGGAGTGGGTGTGTGTGCAAACTTGTGCATGAGTGTGTGTGTGTGGTGTGTGGGTGAGGAGAGGGGACACCTCGGGTCGGTTGTCTCCCCAATGTGGATCCAGGCTTGGGACTCAGTCAGGCCTGGTGGCCAGGGCCTCTGCTGGCCTCTCTGTGGGGAGCTCATGATCCAGGCTTGGGACTCAGTCAGGCCTGGTGGCCAGGGCCTCTGCTGGCCTATCTGTGGGGAGCTCATTGTCAGCCCAAGTTTGCCTCAAGCACCGAGTAGCATAAGGTGGCCTTGAACCCCCAGGAATCCTGCCTTCACCACTCCCGTCTCTCCCTTTCTTTTGACAACGTCTCTACAGCCCTGGCTGTCCTGGATCTCACTCTAGACCAGGCTGGCCTCGAACTCACAGAGATCCACCTGCTTCAGCCTTTCCAATGTCAGGATCCCAGTTGGGTGCCACCATACCCTGCTTGGCTCTTCCACTAATGCCATGCTGGGTACCCCATCCTCATCGAACCCCAACACAAAAGGCCCACCTCAGATTACAGTCCACACAGGACTGTGGGTGCTGATTCCCCAGTACTTTTGGGGAGCCAGCATTGACAGGACACCTGGAGAGAGTGAGGGGACCCCGGTAGAGCCAGCCTCCAGATAACTGGGGCATGCCTTATCAGGACACAAGCCGCTGTCACATAGAAGGTTTGGGTGTGGCTAGGCAGGACACCTGACTAGCATGCCTTGAGCTCCTGGGCTGGGGGCTCTAACACACAAATGAAATATTTAAACTATAATATGGCATGTGGTCAGTTTTTGAGAAGGTTCCATAGGGTGCTGAGAAGAAGGTATATTCCTTTGTGTTAGGGTGGAATGTTCTGTAGATATCTATCTAAAATCTTTTTAGATTATGGATTAGCCTAGAGAAAAATGTCTGCCGTAAATCAAACAGTGAAGGGAAGATGAATAGGAATCTCAGCTACACAACTTAATAAAACAGCTCTCTGAACAGATGAAGATAGGTCTCTTCTGTGTCCCGGAATCTAATCAACATTTACATGTATAATTCAGCTATTATTTGGCTTAAAGGGGCTTATTGGGAAATATTATCAATTTTACTATTTTCTACAGAGAAAATATTTTACTGTTTAAAATAACCCTGGACTTTTAAATTACAACCTATTTTATGTTAAAAAAATATAATATAATATGGCTCAGTTGGCTGTGGCCTACTTAAGACTCCTCTGAACTACCCTTGTAAGTTTTCTGTAAATCTAAAATTCTAGATGGGCCCGGTAGGGTTGAGGCTGGCGGACTGCCATGAAGGCCAGCCTGGGCTACAGAGTAAAGCTCAGACTCAAAAGCAAAAGAACGCCGGGCGGTGGTGGCGCACGCCTTTAATCCCAGCACTCGGGAGGCAGAGCCAGGCGGATCTCTGTGAGTTCGAGGCCAGCCTGGGCTACCAAGTGAGTTCCAGGAAAGGCGCAAAGCTACACAGAGAAACCCTGTCTCGAAAAACCAAAAAAAAAAAAAAAAAAAAAAAAAAAAGCAAAAGAACAAAAAAACCCTAAAAGATTGTCTCCAGGCCATAGCTCTCTCTCCTGGCCATACCCAGCCTTGTAACACGCACACACACGCACACACGCGCACGCACACACACACACACACACACACCATACCTCTGCCTGCCCCAGAGCTTGCGAGGACACTGTCACCTGGTAGGAACTCCACAATGCCTAGGGTGGAGTCTTGGTTCCCCCATTTGTGAACTGGATAGAATTCTGTGCACAGAGCACGCTCTCCTGTTAATTTCGGTTTAGTGTTAAGGTTTATTTATGTTTGGTCATGTGTATTGCATGTGTATGTGGGAATGCCAGGCACAAGACAGTGGTACCCAGGCAGAGGACAACTTTCAGGAGTCAGCTCTCTCCTGCCACCTTGTGGGAGCCGGGGGTCTGGCTCAGGTGGTCGGGCTTGGCAGCAAAGTGCTTTTATCCACCCAACCATCGTGCCAACCCTATTTATTATTTTTAGAGACGAGTCTCTTGTAGCCCCAGTGAGCCTTGAAATTGCTGTGCAGCCAAGAACAATCTCCCCAGTGCTGGAATGACAGGTGTGCCACACCATGCCCAGTTTGTGGGGTGCTGGGGGTGGAATCCAGGGCCTCCGCATGAGAGTGGAGAGTCCTCTGTCCACTGAACTTCACCTTCCTAGATTTGATTCATTTTATTTCAATTTTTAAAAATTATTTTGTTTATTTATTTATCTATTTATATTTTTCGAGGCAGTGTCTCACTGTGTAGCCCTGGAACTAGCCTGTAGACAGAAGCTGGCTTCACACTCACAGAGATCCGCCTGGCTCTGCCTCCACCACCCGGTCTTATTTTATTTTACGTGTGTGGGTGTCTTGGCTACTTGCATGCCGGGTGCCTGAAGAGGTCAGAAGAGGCATCAGAGCTCCTGGAACTGGAGTTCAAGATAGTTACTAGCTGGGAGTTGAGTCCCCGGTCCTTTCAAAAAAGGAAATCAGTGCTCTTAACTGCTTGCTGAGGCATTTAAAAAAATGTTATATTATTATTATTATTATTGTTGTTGTTGTTGTTGTTGTTGTTGTTGTTATTTACTTTGACTTTTTAAGAGGAAGAACTTGACCTCGAGCCCATCTTCCTGCTTCTCAGCAGCACTGGGATGACAGGGGTGTGACGGCTCAGCCTGATATTTTTAGATTTCATAGTGAGTAATGGCTTTAGCTCTACCAATTTAAAGAATATTATATTGATCTCCAACATCTAAAAATAATTTAAAAATTAAACGCCAGACTGGAAGAATTCAGCGTTGTGGGTCAAAACGAAGCAAAAATCTCAAAAAGATACGTTCAGAGAGTCAAAAGGCTCTGCCGAAACCCGGGATCGAACCAGGGACCTTTAGATCTTCAGTCTAACGCTCTCCCAACTGAGCTATTTCGGCTGCGGGTCAAACGTCGCTCACGCCCGGACTCCGCCCCGTGTGGAGTTACTTTGCGCAAGCGCACTACACAGTCCGCGCGCCGAGCCTTGTAGGACTGTACCGGAGGCCTCTGAACCACGCTGTCTCTGTGGCGCAATCGGTTAGCGCGTTCGGCTGTTAACCGAAAGGTTGGTGGTTCGAGCCCACCCAGGGACGCGCTCCTCGGCTTTTTATTTCCCTAAGACAGAAAAAAAAATCGAGGTGCTTGCTTTTGTTGCTGTTTCCTGTTTGTCACAGGAGCCCGGGGGCGCGCACTGGGCGGGCGCGCCCACAGGCAGTAGGCGCGTCGGAACGACTCTCCCCCGTCCCTGTTTCCGCTGGTGCCTATTTGGGCGAAGGACCAGACCGGAACGCTTTGGAGGACGGACCGCAGAGGTTGTCTGAAGGCCGAGGCCGAGATGGCGGCGCGGGCGGGTGAGTGCGGCCCTGAGCTCGGGACGGCGGGGTAGTCTTGGGCTGCGAGCTGCGGCTGCGGGGACCTTGGGTCCCAAGCGCCGGAGTGAGAGACGTGGAGACCCCAGAGACCGATAGGTCGGGGGTCAGCCCTCACCCAGGGCCGGGTCTGGGGTCGGGCCGAAGTGCGCTCGGCTTCGCTTCTCCCCCCAGTTCTGTCAACGGTGAACCGTCTCCTGTTGTTGCCGCAGATTACAGTCGGGGACACTGAGGCCTGCGTGTCTCCCAACCTCAGGAGATTGATTGCAGGAGCCCGGCTGCTGTCCCTGACACCCGGAGAGCGGGGCAGAGAGGGACCCAGGACACTCAGGCCACACGGTTTCCATGTTGAAGCCTTGGTGTCTTCCTCTTTATATACAGGGATTAAACGCGGATGCAGTCTGGCCTACTCTACATCCTGGCATCAGTGCCTTTTCAGAAGGTCGCATCTCCTAACGGTGGTTGCTTTGAGACAGGGTCTCATGAAGCCAAGGTTGGCCTCACTGTGTATACTGAGGACAAATTTGAGGCCTCCACCTCTCCAGGCCTGGCATGGCGGGCGTGCACCAGCATGCCCATTTATGCAGCACTAAGGAGGGAACTTAGGGCTTGGTGCATGCTAGGCAACGACTCTGCCAACGGAACTCCAACCCCTGTGTTTGAGACAGGATCTCATGGATGGGAGGCTGACCTTGAACTCCTGATCCTCCAGCCTCCACACCCCCAACCCCAAGTGCTAGTATGATAGATTTGGACTTTTAGCTTGGTTTTGTGGGTTTTTTTCCCTTTCCTTTTTTTTTTTTTTGGTTGTTGGAGACAGGGTTTCTCTGTTTAAGAGTCCTTACAGTCCTGGTTCTCCTTTATAGAGACCAGGCTGGTCTCGAACTGACAGAGACCTCTGCCTCCCGAGTGCTGGGATTAAAGGCTTGTGCCACCACGGCCTGGTGGCTTTGTTTTTCTTTAAGATGGATCTTTCTGTGTAGCCTAGGGTTATATCAAACTCAGGATGCTCCTGCCTTAGTCTCCCATGCTGGGGTTACAGGCCCAGCTGTGATGTGGACACTATGAGGCGTGGAGGGCATGGATTTGTGGCGTTGACTGTTGCTTCCTGAACACGCAGGACCGGCTGGCTGTACGACGGCCAGTGAATAGTGAATAGAGCCTGTTACAAGTTGCTCTGTTTTGCTACCCACAGTCAGATTTGAAGGAGAAGCTAATTTAATTAACACCTTAGGGGCAGCAAAAAGGATGTTTGTGGTAGAGCATTGTGAGGTACAGCTGTGATCCCTGGGGAGGCTGGGGCAGGAAGCTGATGAACCCAGCCTGAGCTAGACACTGAGATCCCGCTTTAAAAGGACACTTTGGGATCCCTGTGAGTTCTAGGCCAGCCAAGGATACGTAGTAAGACCCTTAAAAAAAAAAAAAGAAAGAGAGAGAGAAAGAAAGAAAGAAAGCAGGAAGAAGCGGAGGCCTGGGGATGTGTCCCAGTATTAAAGCACCCACTGAGCATGTTCCAGGCCCCGTGTTTGATTCCCAGCATGACAGCACAAAAGTCTGCTCCAAGCCAGGCTTGGTGGTGCCAGCAGTTGTAGCTGCTCAGAAGGCTCTCTTAAGGTCAGAGTTCAGAGATAGCCTGGGCAACATAGAGAGATCCTGTGGCAATTAAAACTGAAGCCAGATGCTGGCACCTCCAACCACTTAGTAGGGCATTTACTTTGCTGGGAGTTTGTTCAAAGTCTTAAATTTTCATATGGGGAAACCAAGGCCTGGTGTGTGCCCCTCAGACAGAAGGTCTAGACCGAGTAGACATTTGCCTTTGGTCCAAGCAGTAGGCCACAGTCGTGACCTTGGGACAAAGTCGCCCCGAGCAACGTTGTAGTCAGAGTGAGAGGGGCTGAGGCAAGAGGGATAGCGTGGGAAGCAGCTGTCAACCCCAGCCCCTGGTCTCGGAGGCAGGGTATTCCCCAAATCTTGACGGGGGGGGGGCTATCTCAGTCCCACCTTTTATCATGCAGCGGCTGTCTCAGATGAGACCTCCTTTCCCCCTCCAAGACAGGGTCTCACTGCTTAGCCCTGGCTGACTGGAACTTGCTGTATATGCCAGGCTGGCCCTGAACTCACAGAGATCCACCTTCTGCTTCCTCAGTGCTGGGATTAAAGGTGTGAGCCTCCATGCCCAGCCCCAGATGACAGAAATTTACCCCATATTGCTGGAAGCTGGAGTCCAAGATCAGGGTGTCACAGGGCTGGGGTTTCATGAGCTCACAGCTGTCATCTCCCAGTATCCTCATGAGGTTATTCTTGTATTAATCTCTGTGCCCCTCCCCACCCCGGGGGTGTTTGTCTTTCATGCTGTTTGGGTTTCTCCAGTGTGTAAGCCAGGCTGTTCTAGGATATGCAATCCCCCTTCTCAGCCTCGGGAGTGCTGGAATGCCACTTGTACATCTTCAGATCTGGTTCACATCTGTCCACACAAAGAACATCCAGTCCTGCTTCCTCAGGGCACACCTTCGTGACCTCTGGAGAGGCTCATGCAAACCGTCCCATTCCAAGGTGCTGGGGTGAAGGTGCCAGCATGCCTTTGGGGGATATAAGTCAGTGTAGGGTAAAGCTCCATCCTGCCCTCAAAGCTGCCCTCATTCCTCTCTTCCTGCTTCCAGCTGCTCCTTTAAAAAGTGCCCCTGGCCGGGCGATGGTGGCTCATGCTTTTAATCCCAGCCCTCGGGAAGGCCAGCCTGGTCTACAGAGTGAGTTCCAGGAAAGGCGCAAAGCTACACACAGAAACCCTGTCTCGAAAAACCAAAAACAAACAAATAAATAAAAAGTGCCCCTGGGTTCTGGGTTGCATCCTGCTGTGTGCAGGTGTAGGACAGGTTATTCAGGAGCAGCTGGGGTCCTGGCACGGGAACAGCGAGGCATGGGAAGTGGAGGTGTGCTGGAGCCCTCCAGGGAAGGGCCAGGACCCCAAACTGGACCCCTTCTGGGGGCTAAACTGTTGAACCCAAACCACTATGCTTCTCTCTCTAGCTCCTGGCCTGTTCTGTGTGCGGATCCTGGGCCTACGGTGAGTATGTGGTCGGTCTGCCACAGATCTAACTGGCTGCCAGGAAGCGGCGTGGAGCCAGGAGGGTCCCTCAGTAGTGTCCAGGGGAGGGACTGCTTGGTGAAGGTCGCCCAGCAGGTTCAGTGAGGCTGCCTGGGTGTCCTCCTCACATTGTGTGGGGACGGTCTGGGAGGACGATGACCAAGACAGGACCGCACTGTCCTCAGGCTCAGGGCCCTTACAGCTCACACACTGCCTGTCCCAGCAAGGTGTTCCGTGCGCCCTCCACCAGGACCTCCACAGGCTGGCTGCCTTGGAATAGAGCTGTGAAGGTCGCCTGCCCAGGGGAACTACCAACTGTCCCCTGGGCTTCAAGCACAGCACCTCAGAACTGTCCTGGCTTGGACGTTTGACAACCTGTTGACTAGCTGGTGTTTTCAGAAGCAAAGAGGCTCTGCTTATGTCTGTGGAAGAGCAGGGCAGCCTGCAGATGAGCAGGGCAGCCCGAGCAGGTGGGGTGGTGGGAGGTTACAGCTGGTTACGCTCTGGTCACCTCTCACTGTCGTTACTGTTTGCAGCTCCAGCATAGATGCAGTGACCCAGGTGCGCAGAGTCCATCAGAATGTGGCCACTGAGGGTCCGAGCAGGTAAGCCAGACTTTGGGGAAAGGCTGGAATGCGTCTTCCAGGGCCTCGACTGAGTGCTGCCTGCACCCACCCTGGCCTGTGGCCCTGGCCTCTGGTCTTGCCTCCGTAGTGTGGTCGCTGCTCCTTTCTCTGTTGATAGGTCCTGGGACCCTGTGCCCACCCCTCCCGGGAAACTGCTCTAGCTGGGCTCCCGGACAGGACACTGGGGTCACCTGGCTAACTCTCCTCCATACCCACATGCTCTGTCCTTATAGCACACAGTCTGCATTACCCAAGGCTGGAGCTGGAGCTGGAGCTGGAGCTGTGGTCCCCAAGCCCTCCCATCTTCCCAGAAGCCGGGCAGAGTATGTGGTGGCCAAGCTGGATGACCTCATCAACTGGGCGCGCCGGGTAAGTCCCCCTCCATCAGATCTGCAGCATCCTCAGGGTCTCCTGAGGCTCCTTCCTAAGAGCCTGGCCGCCCCTTCAGCCACCACTCAGGATGACTAGGCCCTTCAGCAGGCCTTGCGTGTGTGTGTGTGTGTGTGTGTGTGTGTGTGGCCCTGGCTGTCCTAGAACTCACTCTGTAGTCCAGGCTGGCCTCGAACTCACAGAGATCCGCCTGGCTCTGCCTCCCAAGTGCTGGGATTAAAGGTGTGTGTGTCTTTTTAATAGCACATATCTATTTTGCACGGGTGTGCATATGCATGCTCAGGCCCCGCGGCAGGCGTGAGGAGGCCAGAGGATGACTTGCAGGAGTCGGTCCCTCCTCCCACCACGCGGGGCCCAGGGATCAAACTCAGGAGTCGGTCCCTCCTCCCACCACGCGGGGCCCAGGGATCAAACTCAGGTTGTCAGGCATGGTGGCAGATGCCTTTACTCATTGAGACATCAACCGCTGATAAAAATGCCTTTTATTTATTTATTGTTTTTATTGAGACAGGGTCTCTACACAGCCCTGGCTGTCCTGGAACTTGCTCTGTAGACCAGGCTGGCCTCAAACAGAGATCTGCCTGCTTCTGCCTCCTGCGTGCTGAGATAAAAGCAGCCACCATGCCTGGCTTAAAAATTGCCTTTTAAAATCACCTCTGGGGCAGAGTCTGGGGAGCCTGAGGTCCTCAGCAAAGCTCACGGGATGGCCTCCCTCTCCATGTCTGTCCCCAGTGGTCCCTATGCTGTGGTGGTTTTTACTTTTTGGCTCTTTGCTGTTTTGGGGGCCCACCACCCAGCTCCCAAATCACACATGGAGGCTTATTCCTAATTATTTTTTACCAAGTTTATGGCCTTTCAGGGGAGGGGGAACCATTTATTTTATTTTGCTTTTTAAGACAAGGTCTCTCTTAGCCGGCTTTCCTTAACTTCAATTATCCCACCTTTTGCCTCTGGGCTTTTTCCTTTTCTTACTTCCGTGTGTCTTACTTTCACTCTTACTCCGTGGCTGGCTGGGTGGCTGGGTGGCTGGGTGGCTGGGTGGCTGGGTGGCTAGGTGGCTAGCCCCTAGTGTCCTTCTCCTTCTCTTGCTCCTAGATCTTCTCCTCCCAGATTTCTCCTATTTTTTCTCTCTGCCTGCCAGCCCCGCCTATCCCCTCTCCTGCCTCGCTATTGGCCGTTCAGCTCTTTATTGGACCATCAGGTGTTTTAGACAGGCCCAGTCACACAGCTTCACAGAGTTAAACAAATGCAACGGAAAAGAATGCAACACCTCTTTGCATCATTAAACAGATGTTCCCAGCATGAACAAATCTACACATCTTAAAATAATATTCTGCAACACTACCCCTGTGTTCCTCTGGTGTCTAGTTCACAGTTGCTGGGCTCCCGTGCCTGGATGGGACAGCCTGTGCCTGACAATTGTCCATTGACCGCATGCCCTGGGACTGCCTTGTTCTCCTGTGCCGGGCCTAGGACTCTACTATGCTAGAGCTTGAAGCTGCCAGGACAGGGTTCACACTATAGGGGCCCCAGGATCTGTTGAAGGTGGGCACTTCCAGCCCAGACACCAACTTCACACTCACATCTGCCAGGCCCCGGGGCCACTGCTGGGTCTCAGGTGCAGGTACTGGTCCATGAGGAGCTTAAGCACTAGTGGACAGAGGACACTGAGGGCAGCCAGATAGTCCCAGGTGATTCCTGAGGGACAGTTGGGCCAATCCAGGGATGCCAAGAAGGGGATATTCCTGGTGGCCAGAGCAGCAGCTAGGCCTAGATGCCACCCTGGGCGTACAGCAGCCACTGGCCTCGTGTGGCTGCCAAGCACTCCAGTGTTCCTGTGCCCACAGGTGGAGGGTGTGTTGAGCTGGGAGCTGCCTTCCGAGGGTCCTGCTCAGTAGCATGCTCACTTGTGGAGGGACAGTACCTGGACACACAGCTGACTGTCTCTGCCCTCATAGAGCTCCTTGTGGCCTATGACCTTCGGCCTGGCGTGCTGTGCTGTGGAGATGATGCACATGGCTGCTCCACGCTACGACATGGACCGCTTTGGTGTGGTGTTCCGTGCCAGCCCGCGTCAGGCTGATGTGATGATTGTAGCTGGCACACTTACCAACAAGATGGCCCCTGCACTCCGCAAGGTACACCTGGTGCCCTCGGCCCCTTCCACTGCCCAGCCACCTGCAGACACCTGACCTGAGTGTCTTGTAGGTGTACGACCAGATGCCTGAGCCTCGGTATGTGGTGTCCATGGGGAGGTGAGTGTGTGCTCGACTGCCTAGGGGAGTAGGGCCACCCCAGTGCCCCACTGTCACATTCCTCCCGCCCCAGAGCCCTTCTGTTTTCCCATCCCCCCTCTCGGCTTCCCCAGCAGCTGTGACTTGCTCGCTCAGTGTGTAATGAATGCGGGCATGGAGCCCAGGACCTTCTGCCCGCCAGGCAAGCGGCTCCACCACTGCTAGATCCCAGCCGCCGCTTGCTTTGTTGCGATGGAGGCTGTGGAGGAACCCTTGGAATCCCAGTTGGCTGGGACACTAGATCCAGACAATCCAGTCTTTGAAGACACTGGGTGTGCTGGCCAGCTCTCTGGAGGCAGAGGCAGTCAGATCTCTGAGTTCAAGGCCAGCTTGAACTACACATTGAATTCCTGCTTCAAAAGATAGAAAAAGAGGGCCACGGTTGGGTTAGAGATTTACCCAACATGCGGGAACATGGGTTCCATCCCCAGGGCCAAGTAACCTGGCACGTGCCTGTTACACTCAAGGTCAGGTGCTGTGTAGTAATTGCAGACTTCTGTGAAGCCGTCTTAGATCCCACAGACCCACCCCAGGTCCCTCAGCAGAAATGCTTTGGTTGAGGGCGCTTTTCCATGTGTTTATCAGTGGCACTTGCATCCCACACGTCCCACGGAAGGTTCTGGAAGCCCTTTTATTGCACCCAGTTCTTACCTGTGATGTAGGGTCTGGCCTGTCCCAGGGCCAGGGTGAGGGGGTGGGCTGGGCTGGCGGACATGCATCTCAACTGCTCACTGCTCTCCCTAGCTGCGCCAACGGCGGTGGCTACTACCACTACTCCTACTCGGTTGTGCGAGGCTGCGACCGCATTGTGCCAGTGGACATCTATGTGCCAGGTGAGGTCGGCCACCCCACCACGCCAGACATGGTCTCCGAGCTGAGAGCCAGCCTGGGTCGGCCCCTTCATGTCTCCTGGGTCCTGGAGGGCACAGAGGCAGACGTCATGTGCCTGTTCTGTCCTGACCTCCAGGAGCACTGGGCACACTGGCCCCCTCTGCCGCCCTGGAGGCGTCTCGACTTAGCTGAGCTGCAGGTCTTTTCGCAAGCCCAGAATGTCTTAGCTGTGTGTCCCTTGTCCTGCCCCCAGCGGGCTCTCCGCCAGCAGACTGCTGGGCAGCAGGGGCTGTATGCCTGCAGGCTGCAGTCCGAAGGTCGCTGGCATTCCGAGGCCGGGGAAATTCAAATGTCTCCCTGCCCTTGGCCCAAGACTCCTGCCCATGTCCCTGACCCAGTGGTCCGGTTTCTGTAACTATTCCTGAGGTCCCATCTGGTCACCAGAGCCACAGCCTGGGCCCTCTTCTGTGTGGAGCCACAGACAGCTCAGGAGTGGGGTGGGTGTCAGGAGGCCCAGCACAGCAAGGACTCTGTCCCTTCAAAGCCAACCCCAGGGCACCCCAGGTGTCCCCCATGTGGGCTGGTGGAGGCCTCAGCTGTGTGTGTCCCCAGGCTGCCCGCCCACGGCCGAGGCTCTGCTCTACGGCATCCTGCAGCTGCAGCGGAAGATCAAGCGTGAGCAGAAGCTGAAGATCTGGTATCGCAGGTAGAGCCGCCGGGCCACGCACCAGCCCTGGATCCCAGTGTGAATAAACCCACCCAAATCCAGTGTGCTGTGTGGACTGTGGCCTCTCGGGCAGCCTGAGGTGGAGGGGGTCGGGAGGCTGGTGGCCGCTCGGTCTCAGTGGCTTCTCTGCTCAGACTGTGACCTCTGCCCTCTGTGCAGCTCAGGCCAGTCACCACCCATTTCCGGGCAAGTGAGGACAGTGGTCTCCTCTGACACATCCCTGGCCAGCTGTTTGCCCCGGGAGAAGGAAACTCGGCTTGATACCCTCTGGTGTGGACATGAGCCTAGAGTCTGTTTTCATGACTCGGCCTCTGTGTCACGCAGATTTCCACTCTGCAGCTCTCAGCTGGCATTTCCAGCTGGTAGGTGGGGTGGCACGCCATGGCGACCCAGGATATGGGAGGGGCAGGTGCTTGCCCAGTCCAAGGGGAGTTTTTGTGTTTTTAGTTTTTGTTTTTGCTTTTTTTTTGGGGGGGGGGGTTGGTTTGGTTTTTCGAGACAGGGTTTCTCTGTGTCGTTTTGGTGCCTGTCCTGTGTAGTCCTGGCTATACTGGAACTCACTCTGTAGCCCAGGCTGGCCTCAAAATCACAGAGATCTGCCTGGCCCTGCCTCCCGAGTGCTGGGACTAAAGGCACCATCACAGCCTGGCATAGCGAAGATATTTTTAATGGGCAGGAAGGATATAGAATAGATTTTAAGATGTTGATTTCCATTAGAAAAGAAAGGGAGAGGGAGAGATTGGAAACGGACAGTGGTTGATTGGTCATGTCTGGGCAGGGCAGGGGACACCGGGCACCAGTGATGGACAAGCCACATCTGCTGAGGCAGAGGCAGGTTCTGAACCAGATGTGTCCCTCCGGCGACCTCCAGCTCCCTGCTGAGCGACCGGTCCTCTTGTTAGCATTTATTTTCTCCCTGAGCTCTGGGAAGGCAGCGGGGCCAGGCAGAGTGTCGGACTGCAGGGACTGCAGGGGGAGCTGAGGCTGCAGCCCACACTCTAGCCACCAAGGCACCAAAGAGGACATAGGCTCATTCCAGTCCTGGCCAGTTGCTCAGTGCTTGGTGACCAGGGGTGTGATCATCTGGGGGAAGGCGTAGTAACGGCAGTCTGCCGGCGGGGTACCAGTGCCATCACCTCTGTGCGGATGTTCTCTCTCCGGAAGCCTGCCTCCTGCAGGGCAGGTACCTGTGTCTCCTGTAGGGAGGGGCACAGGTCACCCCAGACCACATGGGACAGGACCCAGGTGTGGGTGCCAGGTAGCCTTGGACGCTAGTCCCGCCAAGCATCCTCGCTCAGGCCTACCGCCAGCCTCACGCAAGAGAGGCTCGTGGACCCCCAGCTGACTCCGAGCCTATTGGCCAGGAGAACATCAGTCCCTAAGATCAGCATGGTGTGCAGGTAGAGCAGTGAGCAGGGCTGTGCCAGTGCTGGGGGGCCATGGGAGGCTTGAACTAGTGAGGGAAAATCGTAACGACCGACCCACTCAAGATCTCTGACCCCTGAGGCCGGAGAGTCCAGTGGGGCCCTGTGTCACTCCCAAGGTCACTGCCAGGCCCTGGGGTAGGACGCCCCCCCATTGCCATCAGGTGGTCGCACCTCAAACATGGTGGTGATGTCCGTGTACTTGGACTTCATGAGCTCCCCCCAGGACGTGAGGTTGCAGTAGGTGAGGACGCCCCCTGGCTTCAGCAAGCGGAAAGCGTGGTTCTGCAGAGAGGCCAGTGGACAGGGTAGGAGAGGGGCCTTGGGAAGAGCGGAGGGCATGTAGACGTCACATGCTCTGCCCACCCTGGCCCTACAGCCTCACCTTGATGAAGTTGAACTGATGAGTGTGCCAGGTCTCCTCAGACAGTGGGTATGTGTCGTACAAGATCCCTGCAGAGAGAGCACATGGCTGCCAGTCGGGGCAGACGGCCGTGCCCCACCTCCCCTGACCTAGCCACGGCTGCCCTTAGCAGTACCGCTGCTCTGTCTTGGTGTGGTCTGTCCCCGGTGCACACCGAAGGTGCCCTTGTTGGGGGAGGATGGGGGCACGTGCGTGTGGTAGTCAGGACAACCTGTAGGAGTTAATTCCCTCCTTACACCATGTGCATCCTGGGAATCGAACTCAGGTCCTCATTCTTGGTGGCAAGCCCCACCAGGCTAAAGAGGGTATGGTAGGGCAGTGGTAGACATAGGCTGCCAAGATGGATCTGGAGGCCAGCACACCCCCTGGAGCTGGCCCCTTTGCCGGGCCCACAGAGCCCTCACCATCAAAGTGGCCATCGGGTAATGAAGGCGCCACCTCCTCCCACAGGCCTTTCAAGGGAACAACCTTGGAAAGGAAAGGGACAAGAGAGAAGGTTGGGGGGTCGCATGGGTCCCCAGGATCGAGCCCTGCCTGGGGTTACTCCCAGCTGCCACCCCAGCGGTACCTTGTGTGGCTGTCGCAGGGCCCAGTCCTGTAGGCGCTGGAAGACCCCATCATTGCACTCAATAATCCAGTGTTCTTCTATCGGGGCCTGCTGCACCCTGGAGGCCGCAATAGCCATACCAAAGCCCACTTCCAGGACACGACCCCCTACGAGTACAAAACACGCGACAGCTGTCTTGGCTGGGGGAGAGGGATGTGGAGGTGGGGCCTGGCTGCCAGTCACATGTCTCAAGGACAACTGGCCAGCAGGACCGTGTGGGTGGACAGAACAAAGTAACAGAATAGTGTGGGCCCTGGACAGCTGCCAGTCAGGGTGGCTGGCCTGGGAGGCTGCGGACAGGCCCTCGGGAGCCCTGGACTCTGAGCCCCTGCCGACGCTGTTTGTGCTACGGCCCTTACCTGTGGAGCTAGCAAGAACCAAGCCGGGCTCAGAGGCCTGCCACCGCCACCCTCCACTCGTGTTTCGTTCTTCACTGGACACCAGGGCCCCATCTGCCCTGTTTAAGGCTGGGGCGCCCCAAACACCCATGGCCCTCTCTGACCCGACCACAGCACCTAGACAGCTGCCTCTCTGCTCAGTTTTCCCAAGCTATTCTTAGCCACAGCCCGGGGACTCCGGCCCAGCCCAGCCCCACGCCCCTCCACTCTGTCCCTCGGTTCCAGTCAGGGCTGTGGTCGGAAGACCCACCCTCCAATCCAGCCCCGGGGAGAAGAACTCTTCTTCCCTCTGGAGAGGAAGTTTCAGTTCGGAGCAGGCGCCTCTTGCGTGCGCCCACACTTTGGCAACACTTTCCCTTCCCGGCCAAAGTGGCCCCAGGGCAGCCCCACGCCCCAAGCAAGGAAACTGAGGCACGCAGCACGCATGGGAACTCCTGCACGCCTGAGCTGCACCCTCCGTTTCTTCGGGCGAGGTACCTCTGGAGGCGGCGGCCGCCGCCAGCGCATGCATGTAGGGGGTCTCCCAACGCTCCATCACCGGCTTGCCCAAGATCTGCAGGTGCGTGTCGGACGCGTCATAGGCCGCGGGAGCCGCGCGCCACGCGGGGCCGCAATCCTCGCCGGGCGCGAAGAGCGGGCTGGCGGCGGAGGAGCTCATGGTGAGGTTCTGCACACCAGGCCGAGAGGCCGCGGCAGCCGAGCGGCAGGGGTGCAGGTTCCGGAGTGGGGCGGTGCCTGTGCGCCCAGAAGGAGTCCAGCCGTAGTGCGGGGCGGGTGGGCGGGGCCGGGGGCGGGGCCGGGGGGCCCTGAGGGAGTCTCGCCAAATGAGGGACCGGGTGGGCGGAGCATGCTTGCGGGGCGAGGCTGACTGGCGGGGGCGGGGTGGGGTGGGGGGAGGAGTCCGGCCGAGGGCTGGGGTGGGTGGAGCCATCAGAAGGGGGTGGGGCCTTGCTCTGGGAGGCTGTCCCTCCTAGTGCCGGGGTGGGCCGAGCCTGAAGGCTACGTGGAGCGTGCAGGCTCCGCTACGGGTGGGGGCTGCTGGCCGGAACCAGTAAAGTTCTGCTGGGGCCGGATCCTTGGCCTGGGATGGTCCTGCACTGGTGGGCTGGGGAAGAGTCCAGCCCTTTGCTATGGATGGGGCCTGTGCGCTGGGACGGGATGCAGGCAGGAGCCATACTGGATGGAGTCTGGCTAGGGCAGCGTCCAGCCTTCTGCTAGGGGCGGGGCCAGAACGATGGGGTGGGGCCACCCTTCTGCTAAGTTTGAGGAACCGAGCTAAGGAGCAGGGCCGGCGGGCTGAGGGCTACGGATGGGGACAGAGCCATGGGGTAGGTGTTTATGGGGTAGGATAAAGTCCAGCCTTCTGCTGGTGGCCTAGCCTCCCACGGGGGAGGTGTGGCCTAGCCCGCTTGAGGCTAGGTAGAAGTCCGGGCCTATCTTTCGGCTGGGAGTGGGGTTGGAAGCAAGGAAGGGGCCTGACGGCTAGGGTAGATGTCCTGGGGGGTTGGGTGGAGTTCGGCCTTTTACTAAGGACAGGGCATGGTGATGGGGCGGGGCCTATGGGCCTGGGCGGGGCCTAGTTGTCCCGCCGTGAAGTTGGAGCCATGAGGGCCCAGGCGTACTTAACCGGGTGCAGGACAGTGCCGCGGAGGGTGGGCTGTGCTGGCAAGTTCACCGCCTAGGTTTCTGCAGGAGCGGGGCAAGATCCGTGGGCGCCTGGCATTTTGAGCCGGGCCTGACTTTCTGCATTTGCCTGACTGGCTCGCAAGTGTGCTGTATTTACTGTCCAGAAGCCTGTCTGGAGAAGCAGCTAAGCTTGCTGATCTCAATATGTCCGCCTAGCTGCTCCTCCAAGTTTACTTTTTATTTGCATTTATTTGTTTATTTAAAGATAGGAGCTCACGCCGGGCGGTGGTGGCGCACGCCTTTAGTCCCAGCACTGGGAAGGCAGAGCCAGGCGGATCTCTGTGAGTTCCAGGCCAGCCTGGGCTACAGAGCAAGATCTAGGACAGGCACCAAAACTCCACAGAGAAACCCTGTCTTGAAAAACCAAAAAAAAAAAAAAAAAAAAAAGCCGGGCGGTGGTGGCGCACGCCTTTAATCCCAGAACTCGGGAGGCAGAGGCAGGCAGATCTCTGTGAGTTTGAGGCCAGCCTGGGCTACAGAGTGAGATCCAGGAAAGGCGCAAA